AGGGGTCCCCCATGGTCGTCACTCAGGAGACCTTCATCTGACCCTAAACACTCCTTGTTTTCACTCCGGATCCCAGGAGCAAAGGACAATTTCATCTCCCATGGATGTGAAAATACTCATGTCCACACCAGTGTTCTCGGTCCAAATTAGTTTTGGAGGGAAAGCAGGTGAGGAGCCAGGTCAAGGAGTGAGCCCCAGAACACACTGCCCAAGGGCACTTGCGCATGTGTGTTTACACGCACATATGTACTCACACACAAATACATACCTGCACACTCACACATGCATGCATACTGTCACACTCACACATACATATGTATATACTCCAACATACACATAAACACACACCTGTGCACACGCACACACTCCCACCCAGCAGACACAGGGCCCACTCTGGATGCGGTTCAGCAGGCAGAGCCTAACTCTCAGCACCATCGAGACAGGAGACACCGGGTTTCCCTCAGGAAGTCAGTGCAAGCCCCCACGAGCCCCCATGAGCCCCCACAGGTGCAGGCACCGTCATACCCGAGCAAGGAGTAAGGGTCCACCAAGGCCGCTGGGCCCCAGGACTTTCCCACCAGCCTGAGGACCAGGCGGCAGAAGAGTGTCCAGAACAGGGGCCGTCTGTCCTCGGCAGCCGCCCTGTGGGACGAGGGGCCCCTGTTCCCTCCTCCCTGTGCAGCCTCCCCAGCAGCTGCTGCCCTGTGCTGTGTTGGACAGATGCCTTGGGTCCCCCCGGAGTCTTCAGTTCACGCCACCTGCACGGTCTGTGCAGGAGCAGGGGAAGGGGTTGCTCACAGAGTCACCATCAGGAAACCACTTCAGAGACCCGGAGGTCTAGGGTTGACCCACCACCCCACGGGGCTCAGAGGCACACGCGGACCCTCACTCATTCGAGGTCTCCCTGTCTGTCTCTGGGTGTTGGAGCCCAGCCCTCCGCTCCAGTCTCTTCTCTTTGGCTCTCTGCTGCCCCCATGCGGATTCCTCAAGAAAAGCCTGGGCTGCTTGATGGCTACGCAGTGCCAGCCAGAGGGCTGGTGCACCAGTGCAGCCGGTACCTTTCGGAAGGGCAGCGCCTCCCCTGCCTGAGCCATGAACACCCCAGACCCTGCCCGAAGCCCCTCCCCAGCCCTCCTGCCCCGCCTTGCAATCTGGAAGCCGAGCAAACCTCTCCACTCCGACGTGCCAATACAGCATGAGTTATATCCTGAGCAGAAGACGGCTGTTCCCCTCCCTTCTGCCCACTTCCCGCCTTCCTTCCCTCCTGTCCCCTCGGCTCCCCACCCAGGCCTTGCCAGCAGGCAGGAAGGAAGCTCTTCATAGTGGGGAGGGTGGGGCACTTCCAGCTCACACTGAACAACCCCGGGTTGAGCTATAAAGAGTCAGGGCCTTCCGCTCCCGTCACTCACCACCCTCCACCGCCTGGCAGCCCCGCACACACCCCTGGGGCCAAGGCCGCCCTGCCCCCAGGGTCTGGGCAGCCCACCTAAGGCCCTGCACTGCTCTGTGCTCCTGGAGGGAGGCCTGGGCAAGGTTTGCCACCCTCTGGGGGGTGGGGAGGAGCCAGGGGCCAAGCCACTCACCCACAGGAGGGTTTCTCACCCTCACCGACCAGGGCCGATGGGGGCTGGGGTCCAAGCCAATCTCCCAAGCCACTGCCAGGAGCTAAGGGACAAGGCTCCTAATCAGATCCTCTCCAAAGCCCTTGAAATCCCGCCCTTTAAAATCAAAGCTCTGCCGTGGCTGGCGTGGCCCAGTGGATTGAGCTCTGTCCTGCATACCAAAGGGTCACCAGTTTGATTCCCAGTCAGGACACGAGCCTGGGTTGTGGGCCAGGTTCCCATTGTGGGGGAGGAGGTGTGAGAGGCAACCACACGTTGATGTTACTCTCCCTCCCTCTCTCTCTCCCTTCCCCTCTGTCTAAAAGTAAATCGATAAAATCTTAAAAATAAAAATAAAATAAAGTCAACGTTCTCTCCTATTAGTGGGAGGTCAAGTCTGCAGGTGTTGAAGATTTCATTTTTTTCAGAAATTACTCTTTAAAATGCAATTGCCGATAAGACCAGTCAGCCACTGAGATGCAGGAGCCTTGATGCCCCAGCAGGACGGCTGGCAAAGAGCGGGCTGGCAGAGGGCACTGGGCTGGCCGCGAGGGAGGGAAGGCCCGCTTCAGAGGCGGCAGGATCCAAAACTGCCTTTCCGCCCCTGAGCATGCGCAGGACACGTGGGGCGCTGTGGTGCCGGCAGCCGCAGGACCTTGCGGAAAGTAAAAATCCTGGCGGTGAAAACTGCCACGTCCAACTTTCTCCGTCTCCATTTTGACTTTTTCCTCCTCTTCTGAAAACACAGGCTGTGGCTCAGATCAACTCCAGTTCAGGCCCAGCTAGTTCCTGCCATCAGTGTGGCTGTGCTGAATTGTCCCCAGCCTCCCTGTGGCCGGAGAATGCCCCCTCTTTGATCGCTCCCCTTCACCAACCTGACCCCCCCTCTCTGCCCACACAGACCCATCCAGTCTCGGCCAGGTGCCCCCTGTCTGCTGCCTCCAGAACACATGTTTGTGGCAAACCAAGCCAGTGTTCACGAAGCACCTACTCAGTGCAGCATCCTGGGGCTGCGCAAAGTCCCAAGTGAGCAGGGCTTCTTGACCTGTTCTTCCAGAGCACATTCGTTCATTGGGGAGAGAAATCGCAGACATAGAGCAAACTGCCCCAAAACTACCCTAGGAGGAACCAAGTGAGAAATGCTCTGTGGCCTGGGGAGCGTGGAGAAGGGGCACTGAGCGAGGGCCCCCAGGGGAGGCGGGCCGGGGCGTCTGGAAACACACCAAGGAGTTAGAAGCATAACAGACTAACTGGGGTGATGCCTGAGAAAGATACCAGGAGGGCAGGGAAGGCCTCCGGGTCGGAATGCCGGTCTGGCACCGATGAAAGGAGGACGGGAAGGAGGAAGGTCAGGCGGGCGGGGAGAGTCTGAGAAGCTCTCTGCCAGGCCAACAGGAGCCGTGCAGAAAGACTGCTGCAGAGGAGTCCCAGCGGAACAGGCACTGTGAGCCCCTGGGCCTCCCAGGGCTCGGCGACCCTCTGAAGCTGCCTGGGAAGCACGTGTCCTTGGGTTGCACGCTGGGCAGCCTCTGAACGCATTGCAGCTGGGCGGTGTCTGCCACCTGCTGCAACAGGTTCTCTCTTGAAGGGAGAGCTGGGCAGGACACTTCCTGAGTTGCCAAGGCTGAGCCACAAGGAAGGGGAAGAAAGCTTTCCTTTTGTCAGAGGGCAAAGGGGAAGGTCGTTATAGGCAAGGGCCCAGAGGCAGGGAAACACAAGGACTCTTTGAGAATCCGTGAGGAAGCCCATGAGTCTAAAACAGAGGCTATGATTAGCACACTTGCAAAACTGAGGGCCAGGCCAGTGTGTTGGAGTGGCCTCGGCCTTGGATTAAAGAGAGAGCCCAAGGAGGAGGTAAGCCCTGCTTTTGAGATGACTCTGACAGCAGTGTGGCACATGGAGGGGAGGGGAGCCGAAGGTCAGGAGACCACGGGAGGGGCAGTGGTCAGTGGTGCAAGGAGGAGGTCAGGCGTGTGACACTTGTCATCATCTTGTCCCCGAGGAGCCCAGCCACAGCTCCATTAACTGGAGCCTGGAAAAAGTCATGCCACTTAGGTGGTGGATGAATGGGGACAAGAAATGGGGTCTGTTTCCTCAGCCAGCGTGGGTGAAAATGTCAGTGATGTTAGGCCTAGAAGCTATCTCCTGCCTCCAGGGAAAGCGGGCAGAGCAAGGTGGGGCCGCGGAGCCAGCTTGGGGCTGAGCACGGACCTCGCATTTCTGCCTCTCACCTGCCGGTTGGTGGAGAGACCGGCAGCAAAGCATTCTGGGCATCCAGGAGCTCAGGTTTGTCTGTGTCTATAAGGCCCCCCACACCCGCCTCCCTCCACAGACCCTCCCCCCTTGGTGTGACCCCAGAGCTCACAGCACAGCCCATTCCTTCCGCTGATCCACCAGCCACCCCCCACCCAGGCCCACCCCAATCTTATCCTCCGCTGCTTTCCAAAGGAGTCCAGCCAACACAAATCTACTTGTTTGTTTGTCTGCCTGGCTGCCCCTCCTAGTCTCTGCCTGTCCCGTCTCTCAGCTTCCGTTTCTTGCTTGCTGTTTCTCTCGGTCTCTGTGGTCTCAAATCCATGAGGCTTGACCCCTGCAGATCCAGGTGCCCCCCAGCTTGTGGCCTTTCTCCAGCCCCCTAGATGGCTTGGAACTACAAACCCCAGCATGCACTACTCTCTGAGGTGCTGGAAGAGGGCTGGTGAGTGCCACCTGCATTCTGGGAGTCGTAGTTTCCCTATCCCCATGCTCTGGCTGGGGCTCTAAGCTCTCCCCAGTGAGCTATCCCTGCCCCAGCCCTGACTGCCGACCTACCACCCCCAGGGAAGCAGACGTCACTGGATGACAGGATGGGGGGTGGAGGCCCTGGATGACAGCTTCCTGCAATTTTGTATCCCCCACTTGAGTCACAGGGGGTGGGGGTTCCAGGAAATTGGGGCCGGGAAGGGAAGGGATGCCCTAATGCCAGGCTCAAGGACAAAAGGTCACTGCATCCCTGCTGGGCCTGTATCCCTAAGAATCCAAAAGGACTTAAAGGTGGGGTCAGGGGCGCTCAGATGGTGAAGAAGAGCACCTGAGAGGACCCTAGAGGCCCCCGTGGTCACTGAGAGTCTGGGACTCACCTGTTGTCACTGACACAGTGCTCACCTTCCGAAGGACCCTTCAGGGCACAGCCAGCAAGGGCCGGGGGAAGGCCTTCTGTGGTCACACATCACAGAAGGGAATTCGTGGCCCTCCAGGTGTCCACCCTGCCATTCTCCTGCACCCCCCCACACACACCCCAGCTTCTGCACTCTGGCCCCAGAACTCCGCGGGACACCTGGGCTCCCGCTTATCAGCCCTAGTTCTTGGAGCGGAACCCCGGCGTCCGCTCCCCACCCTGTGGGCCTGTGGGCAGGGAGCCGAGGCTTCAGAGCCTCCCAGCAGCCTCGTTCCTGTCCCATTGTGTGTGGGACGGGGCGGGGCGAGGGCCAGCACCGGAGAGCCCCCTCCCCTTCCTAAGGAAAAGGCCGGGCTCTGCTCAGAGCGGCAGAGCTGAAGCCAAGTCGACATGGGCAACTTGAAGAGCGTGGGCCAGGAGCCGGGGCCACCCTGCGGCCTGGGGCTGGGGCTGGGCCTCGGCCTGTGTGGCAAGCAGGGCCCAGCCTCCCCGACCTCTGAGCTCAGCTGGACACCAGCACCTGCACCCGCACCTGCACCCCCGCCTGCGCCAGACCCCAGGTGAGGGCCACAGCAGCTAGGACCAGGTGACCAGAGGGCAGGTGTCCAGGCCTGAAGTCTGGAGCTTGGAAGGGCTGGAGCGGGCAACCCAGCCAGGAGGGCCAGGCTGCCAAGGCAAGAGGGCTGTCAGTATGGACAGGATAGGACAGTCAAGGGGCTCTAACGAGAGACCAGGGTCAGGGCCAGAAGGCAGCAGATGAAAGTCGGAGGTAAGGGTGACAGCTCACCAGGTCTGAATGCTGCTCTGTCGCCAAGAGCTGTTTGACTTTGAGCAAGTTACTTAACCTCTCTGAGCCTTCATTTATATAATATAGGGGCATAGTACACTTACTCCACAGGGTTGTTGTAAGTTTCTAGCTCACATCGAGCCTTCCACAAACAGTGATAACCATTTAACAGAAGAAAGTTGCTGGAGGAGAGTTATGGGCGAGAGAGACGACAGGTCCCATGGAAAGGGGAGAAGCAGGACGCAGGTTGGGAGGGAGGCTGAGAAGACAGAGCCACTGGGCCCCTTCCCCCTGCTCCAGGTCCTTCCTCCCAGTGGCCGCCAACCCAGAACTAGCGGGGCAGCCCCAGCTCCCAGAAAGGCCTCCCTGGGGCAGAGGTCCCTGGGAGAGGAAAGCCGGAGGCCAGGTGGCGTGCCAGGCTGGGAGGGTGGCTGGGGCCGCCGCGGGCAGCTCTGACTCGGGCCAGGCTCCGCACTGGCGCACCCGAGGCCCCAGGCCCTCCCTTCCTCCCGGAGGCCGGCCTGGCGGCTCTGGGAGGAAGTGATAAGGCCTCGGAGGCTTCCCTTCACACGATGGCTCCTGTCAGGAGGGGTGTGAGTGAGGAGGGGAATCAGGGCTGAGAGTTCCTGTGGGCACAGGCCTCTACCCCTCAAGTAGGGCTCATTGAAACCTCGGGGGGCAGGGGTGGGACACCCCATGTCCAGAATAGGCCAGGGGGGCCCAGGGTGGGGATGAAGGCCCAGCCTCGGGCCAAGGGCTTGAGGGCCCAGCGCTGGGGCCCTGCAGCCTGCAGTCAAGGGTGCTGGGTACGGACGCAGCTGGGTGCTGCTCTGCTTGTGGGGCCTCTGCAAAGACGCTTCGCTTCTCTGAGTCTCGGGCCCCTCATCAGTGAAGGGGGTGCAGACACTGTTCATCCCCTAGGGTTTTCAGGAAGGGAGAGAAAATTTAAGGAAGCAGGTGGCAGGCGAGAGGCAAATCCACAGGGCTGGCAGCGCCGTCAGTGGGTTCTCGGGCACATCCGATAAGAAACTCTCCACCTGCTTCCAACAGCCCCCCGCACACCCGGTCCCCGGAGGGGCCCAAGTTCCCTCGAGTGAAGAACTGGGAGGTGGGGAGCATCACCTACGACACCCTGAGTGCCCAGGCGCAGCAGGTAAGGGGGAGCCCCATCCCAAGGCCTAAAGTGGCCAGGAGGCAAGACTGGAAAGGACGAGAGGAGCTAAGGGACAGGCAGGGGACTTTGGTGACTCTCAGCCTCCAGCCCCTGCCCCAACCCACCCAACCTCACCCCAATTTCCAGTCTCAGCCCCGACCTTGAACCTGTACCTCCCTCTGCCACCTCATACCTGACCCCTGCACCCTGACCTGGTCCTGACCCCTCTGCTCCCCGCTCTCTCCACCTCTGCTCCCCACTCTGACCCAGGATGGGCCCTGCACCCCGAGACGCTGCCTGGGCTCCCTGGTATTTCCACGGAAACTGCAGAGCCGGCCAGGCCAGGGCCCCCCAGCCACTGAGCAGCTGCTGAGCCAGGCCAGGGACTTCATCGACCAGTACTACCGCTCCATCAAGAGGTGTGGCCTTGACCCAACACCACCGTCCACCCCATCCTTTCCCAGGGCCCACTCCCATCCCATCCTGATACCACCCACACGAGGCCTGAGCTCAGCACCCACGGGCCTCCCCAATACCCACATGGCCTTGGGCACCCCCCACCCCACTAGACCTCCTTCTGCTCCCCTCTCCTCCGCAGGGGTGACTCCCAGGCCCACAAGCAGAGGCTTCAGGAGGTGGAAGCTGAGGTGGCAGCCACCGGGACCTACCAGCTTCGGGAGAGCGAGCTGGTGTTCGGGGCCAAGCAGGCCTGGCGCAATGCCCCCCGCTGCGTGGGCCGGATCCAGTGGGGGAAGCTGCAGGTGTGTCTGGCCAGCAAGCACCCAGAGTGGGGCCTGAGGGACATAAAATGGGACAGGAGAGGTGCAGGTAGCTCCTGACACTTCCCCAAAAGGTCCCAAGCAGTGGGGAGATCCCTGCCCGCTCCCTCTGAGCCCGGCACCCCTGGGAGCTCTCACCCAGCAGCTAACGCCTGGCTGTGGGGCCCCACAGCGTCGCCAGAGCAGAGAAGCACCCAGACCAACAGTGCAGGTGGGACAGCAGAGCCTCGACCTGTGGGGGGTATTATCAGAGCGAAGTCTTCCAGAAAAGCCCCCGACTGCTTTTTTCGTGTCGGCCTCACTTGCCCAGTCCAGTCCTCTCACCCCAACACCCTGCTCCCTTCCAGCCCCCCCAGTGTCTCAGCCCCCACCCCACCCCCCACCAATCACGGCCCCAGCAGGTGACTCAGAGCCGGCCTGGGCTACCCCGACAGGCCCTGGTACTCAGAGAAGCAAGCTGACCCACAGGGCAACTAAATCCTTGACCTTTGGCCTCCTCACTCTTACTGAGCACAGAAGCATCCGGAACGAAGCCCCGTGCTCAGTCAATCCCGAAGGAGTCTCAGATAAAATAAGAACCATCCTAATACTTGCAGAGCGCTTGAAATCGGTCAACATTCCAGCTCCATTTCGACCCCATCCGAGCTTTTGTATTTGACCCCACTCACGGCTACATCCCTCCCTTGGCCCCAGGCCAGGTCCCTGTCTCTAAGGGACCAGGCTGCAGATGAGATTGCTGCCCCCTCCTCTGCCTCCAAACCCTCTCCTAGGGCTGCCCTCCAGACCGGCTCTCCCTCCTGTCCCCCCCTCCCCCCGCCTCCCCCGCCAGGTATTTGACGCCCGGGACTGCAGCTCTGCCCAGGAGATGTTCACCTACATCTGCAGCCACATCAAGTACGCCACCAACCGCGGCAACCTCCGGTGAGCGCCCGGAGCCGGCCAGGCCCGCCCCTCTCCCCGGCGGCGGGGGAAGCTGGGGCTCTGACCGGCTCTCTCCCACGCCAGCTCGGCCATCACAGTGTTCCCCCAGCGCACCCCGGGCCGCGGAGACTTCCGGATCTGGAACAGCCAACTGGTGCGCTACGCCGGCTACAGGCAGCAGGACGGCTCCGTGCGGGGCGACCCGGCCAACGTGGAGATCACCGAGGTGAGCGCGGAGACGCCATCCAGCGAGGGCTCTGGGGAGACGCGCGGGGGCGCCAAAGAGGAGCCCGTGAAGGAGGGAGGGGACCTCACAGAGTTGAGGGATGAGTGGCGACAAAGGAGGGGCTCCTGGGTGCGCGCGGGGATCCAGCCACTGAGGGGTCCCGGGGCACAGGACAGGAGTTGGCTCATGCGGGGGGGTCCCTGCTCCCACAGCTCTGCATCCAGCACGGCTGGACCCCAGGCAACGGCCGCTTCGACGTTCTGCCCCTGCTGCTCCAGGCCCCAGATGAGCCCCCAGAACTCTTCACTGTGCCCCCCGAGCTAGTCCTCGAGGTGCCGCTGGAGCACCCGACGTGAGCAAGAGAGGGACTGGGTCAGGTGGGGGAGGGGGCTGCCCGGGGGTGGCAAGGCGGGCCAGGCTCCCCCGGGCCCTGACCCATATCCCCCGCCCCCCGCCGCCCCCAGGCTGGAGTGGTTCGCGGCCTTGGGCCTGCGCTGGTACGCCCTCCCCGCCGTGTCCAACATGCTGTTGGAAATTGGGGGCCTGGAGTTCCCTGCGGCCCCTTTCAGCGGCTGGTACATGAGCTCGGAGATCGGCATGCGGAACCTGTGTGACCCTCACCGCTACAACATCCTGGAGGTGAGCTCCTGCGGGCGCAGGGGCGGGAGCCTGGACTCCGAAGCCAGAACTGCGGGAAAGGGCGCGGGAGCCCCAGGGCTGGGCGTGCCCGCGAGCGTGCCGCCCGCGCGCAGGAATATAGCTGATCTTTGAACAGCGAGGGTCAGTGGGGGAAACTCGTGTGTAAGTGGGCGTTTTTTAACTCCTTTTTATTTAAAAAATATTTTATTTTATTTATTTTTAGAGAGAGGGGAAAGGAGGGAGAAAGAGGGAGAGAAACATCAATGTGTGGTGGCCTCTGTGCACCCCCCACTGGGGACCTGGCCCACAACCAAGGCTTGTGCTCTGACTGGAGAACAAACCCTCCACCCTTTGGTTTGCAGGCCTGTGCTCAGTCCACTGAGCCACAACAGCCAGGGCAGCTTTCACCAGATTCTCAAAGTGACCCTTGCCCCCAAAAGTGTTGAGACCCATTCTAGAGATGAGAAGTGAAGGCCCGAGGCAGAGAAGTGACTGGCCCAGGGTCCCTCTGCCCTGCAGTGTGCCCCCCAAGCAAAAACCTGAACCAGCCCCAAACCTGGAGGTCAGGCCACCCACCCACCCTGACTCCTTCCTCCCGTGAGTCCGAGACAAAGATGCTCTCTGACAACTCCCTGCCACCCCGTCCCCACCCGCTCCCAGGACGTGGCCGTCTGCATGGACCTGGACACCCGGACCACCTCGTCCCTGTGGAAGGACAAGGCCGCGGTGGAGATCAACCTCGCTGTGCTGTACAGCTACCAGGTCCGGGACCAGACGGGCCCTGGGGCCGGGGCCTGGGCCGGGAGGGAGGGAGGTGCTTAGAAGCTGGGGCAGGAGTTGGAGACAGCCAGGAGTTCCACAGTTCAAGAGTCATGGAGTGCTCTGCATTTTAGGGACCTAGCACATACTATAGCAGGTGCTGCAAGGTTGGGGGGGCCTGCGCATCCTGGGAGCCTGGCTGACTTGTGCACGCCCCATAATTCTGGTTCCTGGGGCACATTGGGTGTTGAAGTTTGTGGGACCCACTGGATTCTGGAAACTCTAATTCCAGGATCGAGAGCACACTGAGCATTGTGATTTGGGGAGACCAGGACTTGCTGAGTACTTCTCTGGGGTCTCAGAAGTTTAGGATATTGGGGGGCGGGGGCAGGGCTTCTGTTGTTTGCTTCAAGCTCGACCAGGCATGCTGCAGGTAGGGGTCACATGTGGTTGGGGGGACACAGTGTGTGTTAGGTTTGGGGTGACCCAGAGCGCAGTAGGTTTGGGGGTGACAAGGGCTGAGGCCTGCCTGTAGGCGGAGACTGAGCCCGAGCCCATCCCCTCCCTTCCCGCCTCGCCTCAGCTGGCCAAAGTGACCATCGTGGACCACCACGCCGCCACCTCCTCCTTCATGAAGCACCTGGAGAACGAGCAGAAGGCGAGGGGGGGCTGCCCTGCCGACTGGGCCTGGATTGTGCCCCCCATCTCGGGCAGCCTCACCCCTGTCTTCCATCAGGAGATGGTCAACTATTTTCTGTCCCCTGCCTTCCGCTACCAGGTGACCACCCCACTGGCTTTGCCCACCAGGGTGGCTCTAACTAAGCAGCCCCAGGGGCCTCCAAACTTCTGTTTTCTGTACTCACTTTCCCCTCCCCTCCCCCACACCCCTGCAGCCAGACCCCTGGAAGGGGAGTGCAGCCAAAGGCGCCGGCATCACCAGGAAAAAGACCTTTAAGGAAGTGGCCAAGTAGGTGCCCCAGGACCGCTGCCCTTCACCCCACACCTGGGGGCCATCCCAGCAATGCCCTAGGCTCTACCCCCAACCCACCACTCGGTGCCCCCGCGACCTTACTTGGACCGTGTGCCTGGAAGCCCTCACCCCACCCTCCCCCTCAGCGCGGTGAAGATCTCCGCGTCACTCATGGGCACGGTGATGGCCAAGCGCGTGAAGGCGACCATCCTGTACGGCTCCGAGACCGGCCGGGCCCAGGGCTACGCGCAGCAGCTGGGCAGGCTCTTCCGGAAGGCGTTTGACCCCCGGGTAGGACTAAACACAGAGAGGCGGGGATCTGGGAAGGAAGGGGGGATGTGTGCCCGAATCTTCAGCTGTGCCCCGGAGGACAGGAGCGGGTGACAAGCCAGGGCCCATGCAGCTCCTGGGGATCCACCAGGAATCGGGGCCTGAGTCTTGTCCTGCCACAGGGAGGACCAGAGTGGGAAGGACCGGGCAGCGATGACATCTGTCTTCTCCTCACCCACAGGTCCTGTGCATGGATGAGTACGACGTGGTGTCCCTCGAGCACGAGGCACTGGTATTGGTGGTGACCAGCACATTTGGGAACGGGGATCCCCCAGAGAATGGAGAGGTGAGGCCTGCAGGCAAAGGGGCCCTGGGCACGAGGGGAGAGCCCGTGCTGGAGCCAGGGTGGGAAGGGGGGCAGGCTCTGCCCCATGATGTCAAGTGGGCAGGCGCGACAGTCCCCCAAGTCCCCGGCCCATCCCGAGCTGCCCGACACACGCTGTCTCACTGTGCCCCCAAGTCCTTTCCACTCCTAGTATGAGCACGGAACACGCTACAGTCACTCCTATTGGACAGGCACTCGGGGACACTGACAAATGAGAAAAACAGGAATTCGCCACTTAATACGCAACTTCAGCTTTTTCTCTTAACCAACGGAAAGAGCGGTGCTCAGATGTCCACAGAGATTAGGCACCTTCACTTTCTGAACAAATGTTAGAAGAAACAAACAGACCTGAGCACCGCCATTCAGTCCTTCCTGGTGAGCTGTTATCTTCAAGCTCCTCCGGCTCCATCGGCTCCCTGAGCCCCGGGGGCTCGGCTTCCAGGGATTAAAGGCCCTGCCGCACCCGCAGCGTGAGGCAGACCTCAACTTCTCCCCACCTCGCTGCCCGTTTTTAGCCTTTTGAAAGAAAAATAGACTCGCTGACTTTTGCTAGTGTAGAAGAATGCACACCCCTGCGACCTAAAAAGCCCTCGGAAGATCTAGATCATGTGTGTCACCCTAGAAAGTCCCCTGGTCAATCGCCCCCATCCACAGCCTCCCATGTCACTCTCCCCTCCAGAGGCAGCTGCTGTGCTGCCCTGTGTGTCCGGTGTTAGTTTCACACACTCTAGGGAGGCACAGGAAGGGGGACATATGGTGTCCTGGCTTCTGTCACTAGCCCACTTCCAAGGGTCATCTCGAGGTTGGGTGGCTCAGTCGTACGCTCCTGTCCACGGCTGAGCAGCCTCGCCGTGGGAATCCACTCCCCTGTGGACGGACACTTGGGCCGCTTCCAGGGTTTGGCTATTATGAATAAAGCTGTTATAAACATTCTTATGGGAGGCTTTTGTGGGCCGATGTTTTTGTTTCTCTTAGAAAAACACCTCGGAGTGGAAATGCTGAGCCATTGGGTAGATGTATGTTTAACTTTTGTGGGGGGTTTTTGGGTTTTTTTCAAAGATTTTATTTATTTATTTCCAGAGAGGGAGAGGGAGGGAGAAAGGGAGAGAGAGAGACATCAATATGTGGTTGACTCTCACGCCCCCTACTGGGGACCTGGCCTGCAACCCAGTCATGTGCCCTGACTGGGAATCGAACTTGCTGCTCTGTAGTTTGCAGGCTTGCGCTCAACACACTGAGCCACACCAGCCAGGGCTAACTCTTGTTTTTTTTTTTAAGTGGCCAAACAACCAAACAGATTATTGAACTGCACCCTTAAGCTCTGTGCATTTCAATGTATGCAAAGTTTACCCCAAATTTTTAAAAATGGAGCAAACCCAGGAATATATCCCATGGGAAATGGCATATACTCACTAAAAGCATGAATGAGAATATTTTTAACAGCCTTGTTCATAACACCCCCCACTGGCAACAACCGCAGTGACTACCAACGGGAGACTGGAGAGATAATCACGGTATATTCCAACGCCACAGGGTGACGAGGCTGCACCCGTTACAACTGCACAGCCTGAGAGATGAGACTCAGAACATAATGTGGAGGGAAAGAAGCCAGGCGCAAAAGAACACGCACTGTGGGGTTCACTTAGTATGAAGTTCAGAAGGAGGCAGAAATGGATCCATGGTGTTTTAATCAGGAGAGCGGTTGGCACAAGTGTTTGGTTCCCGAAAACCTGGAAAACTGCATGTTTCTGACGTGGGCTTGTCTGTCTGTGCATTATACTTCAGCAAAATGTTTCAGAAATAAACTTAAGGTAGGACACGCTAGCTCTGGCGAACCTGGAAGACCCACTGCCCAAGTGCATCCCCAGTTAACGCTGCAATGCGATGGCCTGGCCGCATCCCGGTGTTTCCGGTGTGAAGGTTGCTCCGTGTGGTTCCCAGCGGTTTTCACGGCAGCGCCGGCAGTGATCAGGGCAGTGCAGGGGGACTGGGCACTGTTCTGCCTACCCGGCTGGTGGCGCAGTGCTGATCGCAGTGCCGAGCGCTGCTCTGTCCTGGTGCAGGGAGACCCCCCCACCCCCACCCCCAACCACCCCAGCAGAGCGGACAGGCGCAGCGGATGTCTGAGCCTCCGCCATGGACCACCCAGGCGCGCTCGGTGGGAGGGGAGACTCGCATGTGAGACGTAGTTCGTACGGGGGGAGACTGCGTAGCCGTCCAGTCTCTGTGTGCTGACCTGGGGGCGGGGTCAATGACAATAGTGATAAAAAGCAGGTAAATATAGTGTAGTCCCGTGTTTACTTTTTTAAAAAAAGATTTTATTCATTTACATTTTTTTGAGAGAGAGAGGAAGGTTGGGAGAGGGAGAGGAACATCAATCTGTGGTTGCTTCTCGTGAGCCCCCTACTGGGGGCCTGGCCCGCAACCCAGACACATGCCCTGACTGGAAATCGAACCCAGGACCCTTTGGTTCACAGGCCGGCGTTCAATCCACTGAGCCACACCAGCCAGGGCTCATGTCTACTTTAAAAAAAGCAACTATAAATGTAGATCTGTGTGTAAGGACAATGGAAAAGGACCAGAGTCAAGCCCCTGTCACTAGGACCCAGGCCTCATGGGTGAGACTGGCGGGTAGATACAAGCAAGTTTTCTCTTTTATTACCTTACGTGCTTCTGGAATGTTTCCAAAAAGCCAACCTGAGATTTTCAGAGAACACTAAAGTGAAAAGTTCCATGCAATAAGAAGGTCCAGCCTTCGGTACACTTTGAAATAAACCAAAGCTAACCGTGGCACCGGTACTTCCCTTGGCAGAGCTTTGCGGCGGCCCTGATGGAGATGTCCGGCCCCTACAACAGCTCCCCCCGGCCCGAGCAGCACAAGTGAGTGGGAAGGAGTTTGGGAGACACGTGGGCCGAAAGATGCTGGGAGACAGAGAAAAGGAGGGCGGATGGAGGAGGCGGGGGCCCATCACAGCCTCACACTGTCCTCCTTCCTGTGACCTGCCTGCCCACTGGCGGTCCCCTGACCTCTGAGAGGCCTGTCCATCCTGAGGTCTCCATCGGGTGAGGGGTGGGGTCAGGGGGTGGCAGAGCAGAGCCCCCAGGCCCAGAGACCCCTGGGATGCTGTCCCTCAGCCGCCATCCCAACACAGCTCCCCAGAGCAAAGCTTAGCCCAAGGCTGGGCCCTTCCTGTCCCCAGTGCGGAGACCCTGAAGCTGTCCCCTGGCCGTGCCGGGGCCTTAGCCTTGTCTCCAGTCCCCTGTGTCACCCTCGCTTTTGTCCTCTCCTGCCAGGAGCTACAAAATCCGCTTCAACAGCATTTCGTGCTCAGACCCACTGGTGTCCTCCTGGCGGCGGAAGAGGAAGGAGTCCAGCAACACAGACAGCGCGGGGGCCCTGGGGACTCTCAGGTCTGGGGGCCTCAGTGTGGGGAGGCCTGCGGGAGGGCTGGCTGCCTGGGCACAGGGGCCGGGCGGGCTGGGCTCCCGTGACGGCTCCCCACCCCCAGGTTCTGTGTGTTCGGGCTGGGCTCCCGGGCGTACCCCCACTTCTGCGCCTTTGCTCGTGCGGTGGACACACGGCTGGAGGAGCTGGGCGGGGAGCGGCTCCTGCCCCTGGGCCAGGGCGACGAGCTCTGCGGCCAGGAGGAGGCCTTCCGAGGCTGGGCCAAGGCTGCCTTCCAGGTGAGCCCCTGGGCTGTCCGGACGCCCACGCTGCTCCGGCCCCAGCTCTGATTCACTCTGGCCTGGGCATTTCCTCCCAAAAGCCACCCTCACTTTGGCTCAGTCCTGAGTGGTGGACACTGCAGACCATGCAGAAGACAATAGACAGGCCCTGGTGGGCTGGGCCTCAGTAGGTGCCCAAGGGCGGGGATCCAGGGCGGGCAAGGTGGAGGGACCCGAGGGGAAGCCAGAGGCCCGGCAGGCTTGTGGCAGCACCAGGGGTGGCTGCCAGGCCTGGGACTCTCCAAGCCGGGCTTCCTGCAGAGGCAGCTCTGCCTGGTCTGGGGATCCTGCCTGGGCCTGAAGGGGGCCCTTCCCAGTCCCAACAGGGTTCTGGGCAGTCCTGGCCCTGCCGGGGTTTCCCGGCTTGAGCTCGGCAGCTGTGGGCTGATGGAGAGAGAGCAGGGGGCACCCAGGTGGTGGGCTGGGGAAGCCACCTGGCTCAGGTGGGGGGGTGTGCTGGGGAGCAAGTCAAGCTGGAGAAACGGCTCAGACTGGAGGAGAGGCGGGGAACGGAGCAGGAGACAAAAGAATCCTGACGTAGGAAAGCGGCTGCCAGTCAGGAACGGGCTGGGAGAAGGAAGGGGCACGCACGAAGTTTCGGGGCCTCAGCTACAGGCACAGGGTCAGCTGGAAGCAGGAAGGCTCCGAGCTAACTGGGGTGGTAGCAGTGCGGGGTGGGGGGAGAGGAAGGAAGGGAGGGGGCCGAGGAAGGAAGGAAGAGATATAAGACCTCACACACACAAAAGAAAGATTAGCAGCACTGGCAACGTGGGGTGAGAGGGGAGGGAGAGACCCAGCTGGATGAGCCCGAGGTTCCAAGCCAGAGACTGGCCCTTCGGTTTGCCGGGCTTGGGCCTGAGCAGAAACAAGTGAAATCCGCACCCTCCCAGGGCTGGGCCGCAGGGACCCCCACCGGCCCCCATGTGCAGCACAGGGGAGGTCAGGCCCACCAGAGACCCCTCCACATCCCACGCCGGCATCTCCTAAGGGCATTACATAAAGTATTTCCTCTTTGGGGGACCTAATGAGGTGTAAAGACAGGGAAGCTGAGGCAGTTCGCGATGAGGGTGGGAGCAAGTCTGGACGCAGGGATCACTGGGTCCCTGCGGTTGCCATGCCCCAGCCACTGTCCTCCTTGGCACTCGAGGCTAAAACTGCAGGTTAAGAACCTAGCGGCTGTGACCTAAATCCGAGCACCGGCGCAGCTAGCACAGCAGCCGAGGCAGGACACGGGCTGAGGAACAAGGGGCCCAGCCCCAGCCTCCGTTTCAGGCCTGGTCTCCCTCCTGTCACCATGGCTGCCAACCCCACAGTCCTCTGTGAGCCTCAGACGGCACCTCCCGCTCCCGGGCCCCCTTTGCTCGCACAGTCCCAGGCAGGTGGCCCCTGGGGACCCAACAGGCCAGCTCCGCCTCCCTCATCAGCCCTCGACACCTTGGCCCTCAGGCCTCCTGTGAAACCTTCTGCGTGGGGGAGGATGCCAAGGCCGCCACCCGGGACATCTTCAGCCCCAAACGGAGCTGGAAGCGCCAGAGGTACCGGCTGAGTGTGCAGGCCGAGGGCCTCCAGCTGCTGCCAGGTGCGCCCTGACTCCCCCCCAGCCCGACCCTGCTGGCCCTCCAGACTCTCCAGGGGCCTGGGACTAACTCTCAGGCCCTGTCTCACGTGTGTCCCCCCCCCCGCCAGGCCTGATGCATGTGCACAGGAGAAAGATGTTCCAGGCCACAGTCCTCTCGGTGGAAAACCTGCAAAGCAGCAAGTCCACGTGAGGAAGACCCCCCTCAATGCCTGTCCCAGCCCCTCCTTCCCGGGACCCTGGCACCTTCCTCCTCCTCCTCCTCCCCCCACATTCTGCCTCCCACCCCCTGTAACTGCCCCCTCTCCTCACCTTCAGCCGGGCTACGATCCTGGTGCGCCTGGACACTGGAGGCCAGGAGGGGCTCCAGTATCAGCCAGGGGACCACATAGGCGTCTGCCCACCCAACCGGCCCGACCTTGTGGAGAAGCTGCTGAGCCGTGTGGAGGACCCGCCACCGCCGGGCGAGCCGGTGGCGGTGGAGCAGCTGGAGAAGGGCAGCCCTGGTGAGGGGGTGTGGTCTGAGGCATGACACGGAGAGCTTGCCCCGTCTCCATAGCCCCAGGGTCCCCTGGCAGAGGGTGGCCACATCCGCTCAGCTGGGCAGTCCACAGAGTGTGGCTCGTTTCTCTGAACCTGCCCCCGCCAAAGGGCTGTCTCCTTCCTGTGGGTGCCGCCTCAAAGGCTAACCCTGGCCACCCAGCCTGCTCTGCAGCCGGCGTGGGGTCTACCTTCTGCCTCACCAGAGCCGGGGGTGAAAACAGAGGAGCCCAGACCAACCCAACCCAACCGGGGGCCCTGAAAGAGACGAGCATGTACAGATAGGCCAGCCCTGCTGCTCAAGGGCAAGGTCACCGATAAAACAAGCTGTGGTCAGTCCCCGTGTACTCTCCAAGAAGCAGCCTTCACCCCAGACAGTGCAGTTCTGGCTTGGCCCCTTCCTCAAAGGCCCCCCTGTGCACCACCCCCAGGTGGCCCTCCCCCCGGCTGGGTCCGGGACCCCCGGCTGCCCCCCTGCACGCTGCGCCAGGCCCTCACCTTCTTCCTGGACATCACTTCCCCACCCAGCCCTCAGCTCCTTCGACTGCTCAGCACCCTGGCTGAAGAGCCCAGTGAACAGCAGGAGCTCGAGACCCTCAGCCAGGTTGGGGGCCACCCAGGGTGGGGAGCAGGGGCTACTGAGGCCGGCTGGCCTGGAAGTGGGGAGCCCGCCTGGCCAGCGGGACTTTACGACCCAGCTCCAGACTTGCTAATTCATCGCAGAATTCTCAAGGTCTGGGAGAGCTGGGCACCGAGAGAGCTGTGCTCCAGAAGACTGGGCTCGGGTGGGGTTGGGAAGGGAGCTGAGGGTGCAGGGCTGGGAGGTTCCACGAGCACCGCACCCTGACCCCACCCCCTGCAGGACCCCCGGCGCTACGAGGAGTGGAAGTGGTTCCGCTGCCCCACGCTGCTGGAGGTGCTGGAGCAGTTTCCATCGGTGGCGCTGCCCGCCCCCCTGCTCCTCACCCAGCTGCCCCTGCTCCAGCCCCGGTACTACTCGGTCAGCTCAGCACCCAGCGCCCACCCGGGGGAGATCCACCTCACGGTGGCCGTGCTGGCATACAGGACCCAGGGTGAGGCTGGGGAGGTGGGGCAGGGCGAGGGCCACGTAGTGACCCCAGAATGGGCCCCTCACTGGCCTCTTCTCCTCCCGCACTAGATGGGCTAGGTCCCCTGCACTACGGAGTCTGCTCCACATGGCTGAGCCAGCTCAAGGCCGGGAACCCTGTACCCTGCTTCATCCGAGGGTAAGTGAGCACTTGGGGGCCAAGAAAGTGACACTCTGATGGCTGGGACAGATGGAGGACTCTGGCAGTTGCACGGGGTGAGGGTGAAGTTCTGGTGAGAGATGGGCTTGGAAGCAGGGAAGACCCTCTTCACATATCAGGGGAATGCATGTCCAGTGAAGCCACAGCAGAACTGGGCCAAGCTGAGGGCCTTTCGCCGGGTTGGATGTAGGGCCCTTCACTGGAACCGCGGCTCCCAGACATGGGGCTGGGGTCCACCAGCAGGCCCTGTTGCTTTTAGAAGGTGTGCTGTGCCCCTTGCTGCATCTGTGGGGTCTGTCTGATGTTGGAAGGCGTGGCACCTAGGAACTGGGCCCAGTCAAGCACAAGCCCCCACTCAGCTGGGAGAAACTGGTCAGGGTACCATGGGGTCGATGAGGACTCAGCATACCCTTCCCTTGTGCTGTGTTCCGAGGCCTTGCCCCATCCAGCAGCCAGGAGCTGAAAGTCTCAGCCAGGGGGGTGGGAGCGTGGTGATGAAGAGTCCCCAGGATGGCACCAGCCAGGCCCAGTGACCCCGCCCATCCAGGGGCTAACTTCCAAATCAGCTGAATGAGTACAAACCACACACCAATACGAAGGCTATGATTTAAAATAAACACACTCAGTGAATTCGTTAGAAACCAAGAGACTGCCCTTGCCTTCCCCTCATTTCTACATTTCCTCAACTGAGACAGCAAACTGTTCTGCAGTTCAGATTTGAACCGTGTGTCCTTTGCCCCGTCTTCTAGAAACCAGAGGCCCCGGGCACTTCTGCCTGCTGGCAGAGTTCTTTTCATAGCCACGGTGTCCTTACTGTGAACTAGCCAAGTGCTTACTGTCATAAGCATTTGAAGGGACAGAAGCTGAGTTCTCCTCTCTCCACCCCTCCAGGGGTTGGGAAGAGCGGAAGCCGGGGAAGCAGAGGGGGCCTGAGCAGGTGTCTCTCTGCCCTAGGGCGCCCTCCTTCCGGCTGCCGCCCGACCCCAGCCTGCCCTGCATCCTGGTGGGCCCGGGCACCGGCATTGCCCCCTTCCGGGGCTTTTGGCAAGAGCGGCTGCACAACATTGAGAGCAAAGGTGAGGCTGGGGGCCAAGGGAAGGACTGGAAGGCAGGAGGGAGTCACACCATCTAGGGACAGACGGGTGGGGGCTGGAATGCAGGAACCAGGTAGGAAAGAGGGCAAGGAACGGGCCACAAAGGTGAAGAGAAGCTCATCAGACTGAGGGGAGAGGGGGGCCGGGAGGCCAGGGCAGTGCCCTGCAGGCCTGGCTTCCTGGTGCTGGGCACAAAGTCGGGGTTGCACTGGATGAAGGACAAAGGGAAGTGGAAGTCCGGAGGGATGGGGATGAGGCTCGGAAGGCAGAAATGCCTCAGGAAGACTCTGGTCGGTGCCAGAGCTCCCCTATGTGGGTCCAGGACCCCGAGCCTCACGTGTTCAGGCTGGGCACAGGGTGCCCAGGGTCGCTGGTAAGTCACAGGAAGAGGGGGGCGGTGACTGAGAGGGAGGCAGGAACTGTGGGAGGTGAAGGTGCCTAGAATATGGGGTTGGAGGAGGGAAGGAGCCAGAGAGTCCCAGAGCTGAGCGACAGACGGTGCAAAGGCAATTCTGAGTCGGAAGCCCCGTGTTCTAGCGCCACCACCTGCCGGTCCACGAGGAAAGGTACCACCGGCTGTGAGCTCAGGCTTCTCCCGAGTCCTGATCGAGTACCCTCCTAGAGGCTGCGCAGCGGAGAGTGGTTGTTTCTGCCCAGAGGGCGCAGGACGTCCGCCTGGGCAGAGCAGACGATAGGAGGGCCTCTCCCAAACCGCCGTCCTGCTTGCAGGGCTGCAGCCCGCCCCCATGACCTTGGTGTTTGGCTGCCGGTGCTCCCAGCTCGATCATCTCTACCGCGACGAGGTGCAAGATGCCCAGCAGCGCGGGGTGTTTGGCTGCGTCCTCACCGCCTTCTCCCGGGAACCCGACAGCCCTAAGGTGCGGGACCCTAAGGGCACAGGATAACCTGAACCTTGGGGCTTGGGAAGGACCCATGCGCACTCCGGCGGTGGACACTGGCCCAGGCCCCAGCCTCCGCCCATCCGTCGGCTCCCACCCGGCCCTACGGTGTGCCCAATGCCCCTTTGAGTCTCACCCGCCCTCGCCCCAGCCCCGCCCCTGATTCATGCACCTCTCTAGACCCCTCCCCCGCTCACTGTGGTCCCTTTGGCTCTCCCGAAACTCTACCCGCCCGCAGACCTACGTGCAGGACATCCTTCGGACGGAGCTGGCTGCTGAGGTGCACCGCGTGCTGTGCCTGGAACGGGGCCACATGTTTGTCTGCGGCGATGTCACCATGGCAACCAGCGTCCTGCAGACGGTGCAGCGCATCCTGGCGACAGAGGGCAACATGGAGCTGGAGGAGGCGGGCGACGTCATTGGCGTGCTGCGGGTGCCCAGGGGCGGGACCTTGGCGGGGCGGGGCAGGGCGGGGCCCTGGAGGGGCGCGGTCCCCCGGCAGCTGCCCCGCAGAACAGAGTACACGTAGGGGCGGGGCACGCTCTGGTGTTGATCTCCCGCTCGGGTTCCAATCTGGTTTTTTTTCACTGCAGGATCAGCAACGCTATCATGAGGACATTTTCGGGCTCACGCTGCGCACCCAGGAGGTGACAAGCCGCATACGCACCCAGAGCTTTTCCTTGCAGGAGCGGCATCTGCGGGGCGCCGTGCCCTGGGCTTTCGACAGGCCCGGCTCAGACACCCCCGCTCCCTGAGTGCCCTTTTCCTGTCTTTCCACCTGGAGAGGGGCCGTCAGTCCACACTGGTGCTGCCGCTCTCCTGCCGGCCTGCCCGGGACCAGCCACCTCTCCCTCCCCTCCCGAGGTGCCTTCCTTCCACGTCTGTCTGCGTCTCGCTTAACTCTGGGGAAGGAGGAGCGAGGTATCCTCTCCCCCGGCCTGGTTCCCAGCCCGGGTCTAAATCTGGAAGGCCCCTCCCAACAACGGCATTCCAGGACCTCCTGTCACCCCTTCCGTGTTCTCTAGGTGAATTTCAGATTCCCCTTAACTCTCTTAGGAGTATCTCATCTTGAAACCTAATCTCCAAATCATTCAAATATTTATTATTGAAGGTTCACCGTAAGAGACTGGACCAGGTGTTGTGAGAGCTACTGAGAGGCCTAAGCCAGCCCCGTGCATTAAAGTAACAGCACGACACACTCTCTGTCCTTTCATGTGCGCAGCTGTGGGGTGGCAGCCCTCTGAGAGGAGTCTGTCCCACGCACTCCACTCGGACCCCGCACTCCAGTAAAGTGGCGCCGGGCCAGCCGCAGGCAGTTCTGCGGCGCGGCTCCCTGGCTCTGGGTGGAGCACCAAGTACTGCCCTCTGCTGCCAGGAATGGGGATGGCCGAGACCCGGGTCACAAAGATGGTGGTGCAAAGCGGCCGGGAGCAAGCTTTACTGCTTGTTTCAGACAGGATGAGGAGCCACACCCACTTCCTCCGACGTCACGCCGATGCCGAACTCCAAAAACATCAGCCCCACGTTAATCTTTCCACTCCCAAGTCCCCAGGGCCCCCCTCCACCAATCCCAGGGGGACCCGGAGAACCAACTGCCGCTCAGTCGCCTTCCTCACTGTTTCCCTTACACTTAGCTTGGCCTCCGCCCTGGCCCTGGTTCCCCACCCCCATCTTGAAGATACTCGGGGACTTCTTCCCAGGCAAACGGCTCCAGAACAGCTAGTTGTTGGAGGGTGTGTGTGTGGGGGGGGGGAGTGTGTCCCCTTCTCCCCTCCGTGTGGGGATTGTCTCTCAGACTTGTTTCCAGACACTTTTGCGTCTGCTCTGCTAGCACTTCTCTGCTCTCTGGGGCGAGTTCGTCTGTCCTTAACCCTCAGATCTTGCCCAACTAAAGCATCTGTGGGGCGGTCCCTCAAAAGGACTCGGCTCGTGCTTCTACTCCACCTCTTCCGATCTCCTGGGGAATCTAAGGGAGAAAAAGGCCCTTGGCAAGCAGCCCAGGGGGTCAGGTTCCAGAGATGACCATCACACACACACACACACACACACACACACACACACCTCAAATGCCCCCACAGTCTTCATCCCTCTGGCTTCACCTAATCTCTCAGGCAGCCCCTCCCCACCCCCACCGCAGTGAGACAGCACTGACCCTAAGGAGGCCCCTCAGTCAGTGCCAGGGGCCTGGCCAGGCTCCTTTGGAGCCTCCGCGGTTTGCTGGAAGCCTCCAAGGAAGAGAGGCTGGGTCCTCTGGGGTCTCCACTGCTGCCTGGGGCTGGAGGCAGGGCTGGAGCCTGAGTAGAAGAGCGGTCAGTGGGACGGTGCCCTGCGCCTGCTACCCCGCCCGCCCCGCCCCCAGGGCCGTCTCATCACCACTCGACCAGGATGGCTTCTCCTCATCAGGCGAGAGTGTCTGCGAGGGGCTGGACCAGGGCCTGGACAGCGGGGAGGCTGAGGCCTCGCCCCACGGTTCCTGCTGCTGCTGTTGCTGCTGGTGGAGCTAAAGGGAAGGGAGAGGAATGAGGGTCCCCTCCTGCCCCGCAGCACAAGGCTCCGGCCCTGGGCTGGGTGCAGAGGGCTTTGAGGCCTCCTCCCCAGCTCCTGTCGGGTGCGTCCCTCCCTCTCCTCTGCTCTGCAAAAGGGCAGGTGTTTTCTCCCCACTTGTCTCTCCCCCCCACCCCGCACCTTTCTACTCACCTGGTGCAGGTAGATGGCATGGAGACTCATCTCAGCAGAGGCAAGCTCAGGTAGCTGGGCCACCTTCTGGCCCCCAATGCCTCCTGGGGACACACAGCTGGAACAGAGGATTCGGTAGATCAAAGACAAGCCCTTCCCCCTGCAGCCCCCAGGGAGGGCCAGGCTCGACCTCCCTTTCCTAATCACGCCTGGTGGCCCTACCCTCCTGGAGGGTCTGCCCCACCACCCCTGCTCCCCTGCACCTCAGGCCCCCACCCCTCACCTGGGGTCCTGGGCCATTCTAGAAATGGAGGCCAGGAGGCTGGCAGTGGCTGCAGCTGGGCAGGGGGCTGTGGGGCTCAGGTCCCTCGGGGGCAGAAGGGGGTGCACCAGGAGGTTGGCCAGGAAGGTCTCCGGCTGGGAGCAAGAGAAGACACAGATCAAAAGAGCACAGAAGGGGAGCGGGGAGGTCTCGTCAAGGCAGGGGAGAAGACTGAACCAGTGAGCAAGCAGGTTCACTCAAAAGGTGAGGTGGAGGGAAGAGAAAGGGGCAGGGTCACTGGTGAAGGCAGGGGCTGGCCAGGCTGGGGCTCACCAGAGGCGAGGAAGAGTCGCTGAGCACCCTGGAGGTGGGGGGGCTGCGAACCGAGGCAGCACCCAACGTGGCTGCATCCTGTTGTACCCGGCCGCGGAGCTGCCCCAGGAACTTGGAGCTGTGCCCTGGGGGGCGCCATTGTGGGTGCACCAGGGAGAACCTCATCAGGGAGAGCTCGGTCTTTCCATCCTCCGCGCGCTGAGACTGTGAAGCCTCTGTGTGTCCTGCCGAGAGCCACTGAGGAAAAAAAGTCAAAAGCTCCAGACACTGCTTTTAGGGCCTCAGTGGGAGCCTGGTGGGGTTGGCGGGACAGGAAATATGAGCCCCAGTCTCCAGGTGGAAGAAGGAGGCCACGACGGGCACTTGCTCGGGGTCACCCCCAAAACAGGGCAGCAGGGCAGGACCTGGGCCCAGGCCCAGCACTAGAAGCAGGCAGGGGCTCTGTGCTTTGCCAGACTGCTCACACCAGACACTGAGGTTGGCCTTAGGTCTTGCTGGGGGAGGCAGGTCTACTTCAGCCCCATGCACCTTCCCGCCCATCCCTCAGCCTCCCTGGTGGTCTTCACTCCATTTACTGGTGCTGTGTGATTATACACATGTCGTGTCGAGTAACCGCACACGGCCCTGTGTTGGCTACAGTCATTGTCCTGAAGGACACTAAGGCTCAGGGAAGGGAAGTGGTGAGCTCAAGGTCACAGGTGGCAACCAAGGGAGCTGCAAGGCACACCCCTTTCTAACTACCACCACGCACACATCCAGGGAAGGATTCTAACCTGAGGGTGGCCGTGGCGCTTCACATCCATAAGAGCAAAGGAACAGATGTCACCAACCCCAGCCACATCCACAGTGAAATGACGAAAAAAGTCAATAATCTCCAGGGCGCGAGGGCGAAACCAAAAGAGCAGAAACAGCGGGGCGAATAGAGGTGACAGGAGCTCCTCCAGGAGGGAGACCTGGGGAGGCAGGGGCGAGGCTGAGGGGCTGCTGAGGGCGAACAGGACCAAGAGGCCCCCGGGGATGCTGGCCAGGGCAGGGAACCTCCAACCCAGTCATTCCCCGACTGCCAGGGTGGCCAGCCCTGCGTCCACTTGTTCCACGCCCTTTCCCAGACCAGGAGGCTGCACAGGTTCCCGCGGGAACAGCCCCGCCCCCGACTCGACCCTCACCGCTCTGTATTGCAACAGCCGCGCCATCTGCTGGTAAGCGCTGGCCCTACTGGCAGCACCCGGCTCCTCCGGGAGGTAATGCATGTGGGCCAAGGCCGACTGCAACAGGAGCTGCGGTGAGCGGCCCTGGCTCTGCTCTTCCGGAATGAAAGACCTGGTGGGCAGGACAGGGTAAGGCAGGTGCCCGTGGTTAGAAGGACCTGCGGATGCCGGAGGCAGGGCTGGGAGAGGCTGGCGGTGAGAGGGGTCGGGGATAAGGGTGGAACTCAGCCCCAGGTCGGAGGAATGACCCGCTCCCTGGGCAGCTCCCCTCGCACCTGGCCACGGTAGCCGTGACCCCGAGCGCGGTCATGGCGGTGAGCACGTGCTCTACGGCGAGCACGTCCTCGTCATAGACGGTGAGTGCGAGCAGCGCGGCAAAGAGCGCGCCGGCAAAGAAGACCAGCTGGCGGGCCAGCAGCGCGAATACGGGCGCGGGGGGTGCTGCGGCGCGCAGGAAAGCAGTGGCGGGGCGGTAGGCGCGGGCCAGGCGCGCGCGCAGCTCGTGCGGCAGTTCGTTGAAGTGGCGCAGCTGCAGGCGGGCCAGGCGGGACCAGCGGCGCGCCCCCAGCGAGCCCGGCTCTCGCCGCAGCAGCTCGACGTGGCTGTAGAAGGCGTGCAGCACCTGCCAGGCCAGCACCAGCGGGCTCAGTGCCAGGTTCACGACGGCCAGCAGCAGTACCGTGCGCCGCCAGCGCGCGGCCAGGGCGCCCCGCTGGTCATTGCGCTTGTAGGCGTCTGGCAGCTCCCAGCCGCCGCGGAAGAGCGAGAAGGGCCCTCGGAAGAGAAGCAGGTCGACGTTGAGAGCCAGGCCGCGGCTGAGGAAGGCCATACTGCCCCCGCAGGGCAGCGAGCAGCGGGCCGGCAGCAGGCCCTTGTTGGCCAGCGCCACCTGGTAGTTGGTGTAGCGCAGGATGCGGTGGTGCACGTCCAGCTCCGTCAGCGGCCGCGGCTGCACGCACAGTCCCCCGCTCCGCTGCAGCGCCAGGAGGCGCGACTGCACCTCCGCCCAGGGCACCGAGCTGAGCTCCTCCTGAGGACACAGGATGCGTGAGCGCCAGCAACCCGGGCTCCCCTGCACCGCGGTGCCCAAATGCACCGCGGCCAGAGAGCTACATCCCTAGCGCCTTCTCCCCACTCTCCTTACCAGTGTCCCTTAGGTGGGAAACCTGTCACCACTTTCTGTCCTCCTCGTCCTTCCCTAACCGTGTCACAAACAGGGGCACTTCCTGCTTCCTTTCATCTCTCCTGAATTGTTCCTCCTGGCCGGCCATTCCTGAGGCCATGAGTCATGTGCTTCCCAGCGACACCTCGTAAGTTAAATTCTTCAGATATTTTACCTCAGCTCCTTCAGAGCAGAGTTTCCTGAGCCACCCGCAGTCCCACACGCAGAAGACACTGAGCGGCCGCAGTTCCTAGGGTGCCTGACAGCGTGGGTCCAGGAGCCTCATGGCCTCTCACCCCCTCAGGCTGAGATGGCCATCCCCCGCAGTGATCTTACTAAGACACTGGCTGAGTGCACGGCTGGGGTGGGGTGTCAGATCTCAGGCGGATCTGCCCTGCAAGCCTCATTTTAGCCCAGTTTCACCCCGCTGCCCCAGTCCAGCCCAGTCACGTCCCTCTGGGTCTGTCTCTGCAGGCCGTCCCAGGGTCTCCCCTTCCCCTGGAGGGAACGAGGAGGGAAGTGAAAGGAGAAGGAGGATGAGGAGGGCAAGCAGCCTCCTGAAGAGCCTGCTCTACGCTGCCTCTGCTTCCCTGGCCTCCCAGATCTGTCCTGTGCTGTGCCCAGTGTTCCCCTCAAGGTGACTTTCCAGAACCTCTCCCTGGGCTGTGCAGGAGGACATGCCAAAGGCTCTCGACTTCTAAGGGGAGTAAGGGGAGCCAGCTGCAGAAGGTGCCGTGTTTGCCTGTGTATAATGCCCACCCGCAGTTTGTCCGCATTATACACGGGATTACTCTGCCCGCCTATAGTGCACATCCTTATTTTCCTGTCAAAAACTTGGGCAAAAAATGCATGTTATACACAGCAAAATACATTAGCCTTGGAGCAGTGCCTTAAAGGATGGACTTAGATACAGAGCAAGGAGCATGAGCAAGATGGGGAGGGAGGAAAGGGCAAAGCAGGACCTGGGGACAGGGAAGAGGTCCATGCAGTGGCTGACTGCCATAGGGGCAAAGCCAGGAAGGGAAGTGGGGTCACCCAGTGAGGCCTCCGCACTGAGTCGTGGGCCGTTGGGTCGACCTCCTCCCACAGATGATCACTGACTCCCTGTTTCCTCAGCTCCGGTCCTTCCCAGCCCCACCCCAGGTTCTCCTCCGTAAAGCTAGGGGACCCCCCTCCTCTTCTGTAACCCGTCTAAACCCACTGAGCCCCACTAGGATGAGGACCATGTGGTATACGTGGTGGTACCTCCTGACATTACTCGGGGCCCAGGGTGGCTGTCAGTGCGGACTCTGCCTGCTCCCCAGTGGGCCCTTCCGTCTGTACAGCCCCCACGCCTCCCCTGTTCTCTGCCGCCCGACACGGTGCCGCTCCACACAGCCACACCCACCCAGCTCACCGGGGGGATGTGCAGGGCCTCCCTGTAAAACGCCTGGATGTCCCAGTAGCTGAAGAGGTTGCAGACTGAGCGAAGCAGCTGGATCAGCCAGAAGGCTGCCGCCAGGATCAGAAGGAAGACCAGCAGGGGGCTGGAGCGGATCCTGGGGGCGGAGGTCAGGGAGCGAGACAATGGGACCCCCACGGAGAGGGAGACAGCACTTGGGGAGTGATGGTCAGATCGTGGCGAGGATCTAGCAAGACCAGCAGTTCTCGAAGTGTGGGGTGTCTGGGGGTCCTCAAGACCCTTGCAGGTGTCTGCAAGGTCAAAACTTTTCTTTCACGTAATACTAATGCTTCTGCCGTTTTTATTCTCATTCTCTCGTGGACGTACAGTTGAGTGGTCCGGAGGCCACGTGATGTCACGTTGACAGTGGACGGAATGTGCACTCTCGGGTCTTCCCGCTGCCCTGTGCTTTACTCTCCGATAAGGTAAGATTCTCATGAGCAAAAGCTCTTGGGTTCTCAAGCAATTTTAAGTGTGTGAAAGCTGTCCGGAGACCCAACCCTCGGAGAACCGATGATCTAGCCCAGGGACAAAAGGTGGGCGGCTCTTGTCTGCTAGTCTCCCCCACCAGCTCTGCTCCCCCCACCAGTTGTCACTCACCGCTGGGCACACTGGGAAGACGACAGGATGGCGTCTGACAGCGTCACTTTGCTGTGCGGCAGCCCAGGTCTTGTCCGGTTATTTGGTTGGTTGGCAAAGAGAATGTCGTAATCCACGCAGCGAAGGAGGAAGGTCGTGAAGGTGATGATGAAAACAAATTGTCTGGCGAGCCGGGAGTTCAGGGATCAGGTCTGAGAGCTGGGAGGGCTGCCGCCCGGCCTCCAGGCCAGCTCCGTCCTCCTCCCCACCCAGGGAGCCCCTGGCTGCCTGGCTGGACTAGGAGCAGCAGGCACCGCCAGGACAAGCATCTCACCCCAGCTGGAAGACGCCCTCCAGCAGGATACAGGCAAAGCCGTTCTGCTGGTGGTAGCTGTAGATGTAGCGGGTGCGTCAAGAAATAAACCTGGGCAGGACGGACCTTTCATAAGCATGCCGCCCCTCACTCCACCGACACCTCCCCTGACGCCACTGCATCCTCAGAGGCACCCCTGCCGTGAATAATGCCAGCCCAAGGGGCCCTCCTGTGCCACTGCCGCCAGGCACAGCACAAAGGATATCTTGGTGAAGAAGCTGTCCAGGTTCTGGATGTGGTGCCAGGAGCCTGGGCACAGAAGGGAGAGTGGGGACTCAGCTGTCGTCAGCGCGAGCTCTCCATGCCCTCAACCTGCTGCCGCAGCCCCTGGCGCTCCCCCGTGGGTCCACACCCACGCGCTTACCTCGGAGCCCTTCGGGCACATGGAGCAGGGGCTGCTGTTCCTCCCCGTGGAGGGCTGAATCTTGGGACCCCTCAGGGTCACAGTCCTCCAGCCGCTCATAACCCTGCTCAGGGATCAGAGGGCCTATCCGCAGCCCAGGACTGCCCTGGGGGCATCGTCGTGAAGGAGGGGGAGTCACTGAGGCCAGGGGTGGGGTGGAATGGGAACCCCCGGAGCGGGGAGCAGAGATGGGTGTCATCACAGGCCCTACCTGTTTTGGGGGTGTGGCTGGGGTGGGGAGGGCACTGTGTCGAGGCTGAGAAGCCCCGGAGGCCTGCACAGCTGGGCAGGGGGGCCCCGGAGCCGAAGGAGGAAGTAAGGAAGGCATACTTCTTGTGCGAGGGGCAGGGGACAGAGAGAAGACAGAGACCCTCCCTCCCCCAGGCCCCCGACATGGAGGAGGCAGGAGAGGAGGCAGTGGCATGGGGAGGAGGGGCACTGATCCAGGCCCCAGGTCTCCCCACCGCCCCAGCTGCCCTCTGCTCCCCCCCCAGCCCGTTCGCCTCACCATCAGGTTGGCGGCTTCTCCTGAGAGTTTGGAAGGTCGGGAGTTTGCGGCTGTTTCCCCAGAGGTTCAAGGCGCTGAGCAGGGACTTCGACAGAACAGTGACAACAACAACACCGTGACTCAGTTGGGGCAGGCCCCAGGCGTCCCAGCTCCCGGTCCGTCACCTGTCTAAGCACGCACGCCCCTTTCCCGGGCAACCTGCAGCCAAAGCTCTCAGGCCCCTCCCCCTCGCCTGGGAGGGGTGCCAACAGGAGAGGCAGAAGCTGAAGAACAGACCAGAGGAGACACCTATCGTTCCATCGGCAGCCCTCGAGTGGATCTGAAGGGGAGCCAGGAGACTAGTAGCCAAAATAACAAAAGCCAAAAGAAAACTCTGTCAAAGGATTGTAGGACTATGGCCCAAGATGTTACCTCTTTGATTTCTTATAATCTTGTCTTCCCTACACACACACACACACACACACACACACACACGCACACACACACACAGAATCATCAACGGAGAAATGCTTTAAGACCAAAAACAGGAGGAGAAAGAAAGAAAGGGAGAGGCTGTTCATTTTGTCTGTCTGGCAGTACTCAAGAGGGCAGGCGGGGAGACGGGGAGCGGAAGGAAGAGAAGAAAGGAGAGCCCGTTCTCTTGGATGTGAAATGTGGGGTATGGAGCTTCCAGTAGAAAAACAGGGTTCCCTGGATATTCCTTTATGGTTACTTCCTTGTCTTCCTGAACCCTGAAACCCTGTCCCGCAAGTCCTGATCGAGCCTTTGGAGGCCACTCAGAAGCATCGGGACTGAATCAGCAGAGAGCAGCTGGGGGTCAGAGGGACTGAATGATCCTTTCAGTGGCCAGAGGTGAACTGACTGAGTTGAGTTCCTTGTTGTCACATCAATGAGGAGGAGGAGGAGGCCCAGGCAGCAGGTCCAGTGGCTTGTCTGACACCATTCCTGAGGCTCTGATTCACCAGGTTTCCTGTTGAAGGCCATGCCACCCAGGTGTCAGGCCTCCTGGGCTTTGGCCAAGGGCTCAGGTAGGGGCCAGTATCCATAAACTGAAGAGAGGAACAGAGTGCTTCCTAGATTGGCCACTGGAGGAATGTGGAGGCCATCACAGAATTGCCCACAAAACCTGGGTCTGGATATGCCTGTATCTCTCCTCCTTCCTGGGAGGAGAACTGCCAGCCTAGCTGAGGACTCGCATAGTTTTGTCCCTGATGGGAGGCAGAGCAATGAAAACAAGACTCGTCCCTTCTAGACACGTCACTCTTGTGCCCAAAGTGGAATGCCGCATTGTAGAGGGGCTAGGAATTTCTCACGAACTCTCTCCGGGTGGGTTAGGTGGGGTTTCGTCTGGTCTCTCCTCAGTCTCACTCGCCTCAATATTCTACCTCACTTTGGGACCCCTCCCACCCTCCCCTCCCGTATACCCAGCCCAACCTCAAACTGATCCTGCCATCCTTCCTCGCCCATTTCCACCCCCACATACAGTCATTTTCGGCCTCCCTAACACCAACCCCAGTTCAAGTCAATTTATTATAAAGGACACTTTTTCCTGCCAGGCATTTGAAGGGATGGGGAACAGATGGATGAGATAGAGCCACTACCTGAAAAAGAAGTTGGGGCCCCAGCTGAGGAGGCAGCTCCGCAAACAATTGCAGGGACGGGGTAAGCGCTGAGCAGAGGGGTAAGCTGTGCTAAGGTGAGAGTCTTAGTCAGTCTGCGGATGGGTCTGAGGTCGAAGTGATGAGCTACTACTGGACCTCTATTCTGTATCAGTGGGTGAGTGCTGGCAGCATATCGCAATCACCTAGGGAGGTTTTTAAAACTTTTAAAAAAAGATTTATTTATTTATTAGAGTTAGAAAGGAAGAGAGGGAGAGAAACATCAATGTGTGGTTGCCTCTCACACGCCCCCTACTGGGGACCTGGCTTGTAACCCAGGCTTGTGCACTGACTGGGAATCAAACCCAGGGCCCTTTAGTTTACAGGCCAGTGCTCAATCCACTGAGCCACACCAGCCAAGTCAGTTATACGTGGTTGCCGTCCCGGAACGCTGACCCGCTTGTAGAGCGGGGTGAGTAGCAAGGTATGGGCACTTTTAAAAAAACAAAAAACGCCGCAGCCGATTTTGTCCATTCTTTCCCCAGAACCAGCGCTCTACACTCCCTGGAGACCCCGGGACCTCTAGAGTCCGCCAGTAGCACCGATAGAGCTGCAGGGAGGTCCACGGCGTTACTATGGATGCCCCGGGGTAGGGGTCGGACTTTGCACATGCAAAACGTCCACTCAGAGCCAGGTCAAGCAGCGGCCGCAGGTCACTGCCCGGTCCTGCTCGGCAGCACCCAGAGCCCGGGCAGATGGGCAGGTGGCTCTCTCCAATCACAGTTCCTGAGGGGGGAGCGTGGGCAAGGTTTTCTCCAATCACAACCTGCAGGATGTTCAAGAGCCTTTCCTCCAATCCTCGCCGAGGCGCGAAGGGGTTGTCGGGATGTGGGCCAGAGCCAACATGGAACCCTCAATGGGATAAGGGTGAAACTCCCGGTGCCGGCTGTTCCTTTCTCCCGCCCAGTCATGTTGGTGCACTTATTTCGGGTCGGGATTCGGGGAAGCTCTGTCCCAAGCAGACCGCTACTCCCCCTCAGCTTCCAGACATTCTCGGCTGTCAGGTAAAAAGGGACAAATAAACTGCGAGCGCAGGGCCATTTGACCGGCTAGCCTGGCGTGGGGACCGCTGGGAGATGGAGTCCGGGGCTAGCGCGAGGCCTGCTGGGAGTTGTAGGCCGACCGACGTCGGGGGTGGAATGTCACTCCCCCGGCAATTGGCCTCAATTATTTATAGCGAAGAGCCAGGTGCCAGCAGGAGGCTCCGAGTACCTGTGTGGGCTTGTGGGTGGGCTGAAGGAAAGCTGTGGGTGGGTGACCACGCCTGGTCCGTACTCCTTCCCCACCAGGGGGCGTCGAGTCCCATAGGCTTCCTCCCTTCGGTCGTAGTTCCGGCCCCATCCTCTCTCTTGGAATTGGTCTGGCGATTTGGATAAAAATTATTCGTGTCCAGAGATACTTAGTGTTAGTTGTGCTCCCAGGATTCCAAATGAGCTGAACAAAAATGGTTCCTAGATAGGAATATTTTGAGCAGAGATAGTCAATCTAGTAAATTGCCCGTGTGTGTTCCGTGTTCACGTTGCGCACGTTGGTGTTTAGAGTGGGAGCGGGGCGGGGAATGGGTGGGAAACGAAGGGGACTCGGAACTGAGACTTCAGTATAAATGCTTTATGAGAAGGTACTGACTCCCTACTGATCTTGGGTTGAATGACCTGAGGGCCAGGCAGGCAACAGATTCGGAGGGTGGGTGGATTGGGCTTGTGTCATTTGGAAGGTTCATCTGATTGATAGAGGGCAAGAGCTGGGTGGACCTGGAGCCGAAGTACCGGTGCTGGGAAGTAATCCACCAATTCTTCGCAGTGAGCTAGCCCTGCTTGAGCCTCAGTTGGGAGAAGATGAGAAAAGATGGAAAGTGTCCATGCTAAATTATTTAAAAGTTCGAACAGTCCTCAGGAAAAGAGTAAGGGTGTTAATATTATTTACACCAGAAAGAAACCCAAGGAAAGAAATCCAATAATATTCAAGTATTTGTGTGTTCATTTGTGCAGTTTTTCAGATGTTCAAGTCATAGCACAATAGGTCATAAAATGAACTTGTGGGTTGGGACCATTTAAAAATTAATATAACAGTGCCCTGGTCGGTGTGGCTCAGTTGGTTGAAGTACAGTCCCATAAACTAAAAGGTTGTGGGTTCAGTTCCTGGTCAGGGCACATGCCTGAGTTGCAGTTTGGTCCCATGTCGTGCATATCAGGCAGCCAGTCGATGTTTCCCTCTCTCTCTGCCTCTCTCAAAAATTAGCAAGCATCTCCTCAGGTGGGGATTAAAAAATAAATAAATCATTTTCAAAAGTGAATGTAATTAAAAAAATAGAATACACATTTAAAAATAGAGAAAGTATCATCTTGTGAAGGCTCTCAACTTTGTGTGCCGTACATATATGTTCCTCGTACTGGGTTACAATGTACAAATGTATTCTTTACTATTGGCCTCAGGAAATTCAAAACTTTGCAGACACCGCAGCAGTGTGTCAGTTCAGATTGTTCTGCATTTCTCATGCGGGCGTGCACTGAGCAAACATCATCATTTTTTAAATGTGTTATAGTCCAGAGCACTGCTGAGCACTGAGGATACAATGGTGAGCGAGATAGAATTTCCTGCTCTTAAGGAACAGATGGTCTCATGGGGAAGTTGGGCAGTTACACAGGGCAGAAGGAGTCAGCTTCTCTATTTGAAACTATGTGTTTTAGGACAGACGTAAAGTATACAGTGGAAAACACGACAAAAACCAGGCATGTGGCCCTGACTGCTGTGGCTCCGTGCGTTAGGCAATCCTCCCGCAGACCAAAGGGTCACCGGTTCAGTTCCCAGTCAGGGCACATACCTGGGTTGCAGGCCAGGTCCCTGGTTGGGGGCGTGCGAGAGGCAACTGATGAATGTTTCTCTTGAACATCCATGCTTCTCTCTTTTTTCCTTCCTTCCCCCCTCTCTAAAAATAAATAATTTTTAAAAATATTTTTTTAAATAATGTTGTCCAGGCATAACATAGAGGGGGCAAGAAACACGGTCCCCCTGAAAGAAGGGAAGGATGAGGTGAAGCCTGCGGTTAGGAGGGCCAGGGAGTGTAAAACACCATCACAGTAAAGCAAGAACCTCTCGCTAATTTCATTCTTTCTTTAAAAGCCTTTCCCCATCAAGACTCTCCTTTGGATCTGTGAGCATCCCGCCATGTACTCTAGGCTGGATAACTTCTCCTAATGGGCCTCTGTAGCCAGTCTTGACCTCTTCCGGTCACTCCCCTCTGCTGTGACCTTTAACATGCAAAGCTGGCCCTGGCTGGTGTGGCTCAGTGGACTGAGTGCCAGGCCTGCGAATGGAAAGATCACCTGTTTGATAAAATCTTTTAAAAAGAAAGAAAATGCAAATCTGATTATGTGACACCCCAGCCTAAAAACCAGAAACGGTCTTTCTTGCCCTCCCAAGTCCAACTGTTTTGTAAGGATTGTGATGAATCGCCCCCCCACCCCCGTCACCCCTCCTGATCCCCTGAGACAGAGGAGGGGGAGCCCCTGCGCTGCTCTCCGAGGCCGTGGCTCCCCTATCCCCACACTCTGCAAGCTTTGTCATGAGCTGTTGGTCACCCGCCACTGAAGTGCGAGCACCAGGAGGGTGTTTATTTGGCCTGTTCAGCTCCTGCTCCCTGTGCCGCGCAGTAGGCACACAGCCCTCCGTTGCTGTCTGTAGGCCTGGACACTGCAGGAAAGAGGGGCAGTCGTGATTTATCTGAGATGACGAGATATGCTACTTGGATGTCTACTTCATTTCCTTCCTTCAGCTCGTGGAGAAGGAGCGTGTCACCCTTCGCCTCCGTACATTGTCACGTGTGCACTTGAGACCTGGGAGGAGCTGGGTGATGGGGGGCCATAAGCACCAACCGTAGTCAGAAGACCTGGGCCCTGGCCCTGCCACGCATGACCCTGGGCACATCGCACAGGGCAGAGTGGAACGAGCCAGCATTCTGGATGCACACACGTGTCAGGATTCCCTTCCGGTCTCAGTGCTGCTGCCTGGGAACAAACGATTAGCTCTCCAAGCCCCACACGAGTTTGCCAACAGGCCAGTGAGAAAAAAAACAGCATCTCCCTCCCAGGGGTTCGGGATCAAACTTGCAGAACATTAACGCTCCGCGTGCCGGCCCCTCCTCTCTGAGCCGTGTGCACACAGGACTGCTCCGTCCTCAACTGGAAGGGAGTGATGCGGACTAACTGCCATGCAGGGCACCCTCCAGTTCCGACGTCCTGGGATCCCAGCCTGTGGGTTGGGGCTGGCCACTAGCCCAGAGGGGCCTCCCTGGGCAGAGAGGGCCTGGCTGGCTGAGTGACCGCCCAGGGAACACCTATAAGACTTATTACATGCACCCGTGTCATTCCTCAGCTGCTTTGCAAGTGTGTGTTTCTCTCAGAAACTGAGGATGCTAACTGAAAGGTCGCCGGTTTGATTCCCAGTCAGGGCACGTGCCCGGGTTGCAGGCCAGGTTCCCCAGTTGGGGGGCGCACAAGAGGCAACCGATCGCAGTATCTCACACATCGGCGTTTCTCTCCCTCTCTTTCTCTGTCCCTTCCCCTTTCCCTAAAAAGTAAATAAATAAAATCTTTTTAAAAATGAATGAAAGCCTGTTTTAAAAAGAAACAGGATGCTTAAGAGCAGCCTGAGCTAGGCATGGACCAGCCTGGCAGGAGGGAAGTGCTCCCCCCAGAGGGCCCCCCTCAGGGCTCGCCTGCTTCATGGTCGGCTGAAGGACAGCCGCGCCAGGAGCCTGCCAACCCGACTCTCTCCCTGCAGGCACTCCGATGTCCGCCACGGCTCCCACCTCCTCAGGGCCGCGGCTCAGCTGCGGTGTCAGCTCCGGGCTCGCCTCTTTCGAGCACCCCCAGCTCCCCGCCGAAGCCCCTCTGCCTGGCACTGGGTTGGGGGAGCCCTGCTGGGCCCCGTGGTACTGAGTAAGTGCCCCCGCCTCTGCCTCGTGGCCCTGTGTGAGGCAGAAGAGGCCCCTCCTGCCTGCCCCAGGCCCTATGTTACGGAGTCCCACTTTAACTGGAAGCTCTTCTGGCAGTTTCTGCGCCCCCACCTGCTGGTCCTGGGGGCAGCGATCCTGGTGAGATCTTCCCCCGCACCCCTAAAACCAGGGATAGGGAAAGGCCCAGCCAGAGCTGTGCAGGGACAGCCTGCCTGCCTCGTGGAGCCTTCGAGGGGACTTTAGGAAGCGGCAAGGGCTGGCCTGAGGGCAGGGCCAAGGGATACCCGGAGGGCCTGTGCAGGGGGGCTGGGTGTGCAGGGCTCAGAGGTCCCCAGGGCCAGGTAGCCTGAGCTCTAACTCAGAGGCACCGGAGCAGCCAAAGCACGGGCAGCGGCCAGAGAGGAAGGGCCAGGGTCAGGGGTGAAGGTGGGGAAGATGGCCCCCTCTAAATGTCTGTGTGCCCCCCTCCAAGCTGGCACTGGGTGCGGCTCTGGTGAATGTGCGGATCCCCCTGCTCCTGGGCCAGCTGGTGGAGATCGTGGCCAAGTACACGAGGGACCACGTGGGGAGCTTCCTGCATGAGTCCCGGAACCTCAGCACCCACCTGCTCATCCTGTATGGCCTCCAGGTACAGCAGGTGGGAGGGCCTGGGGCAGACAGAGGGGCTGCCCGGGCCCTGCTGAGTGCCCGGCCTCTCTCCCAGGGACTGCTGACCTTCGGGTACCTGGTGCTGCTGTCCCGCATCGGCGAGCGCATGGCCGTGGACATGCGGAAGGCCCTCTTCAGCAGCCTGCTCCAGTACGCCAGCCACAGGGGGCGGGCTGCGGGCAGGGGTGGCTAACGGGCCCCACAGGGGTGCAGGTGAGCGTCTGGGGGTGGGCCATCATCCTGAAGTAACGTCTCCCTCCTTCCCCAAACCGTGGCCCTGTGTCCCACGCCAGACAAGACATTGCTTTCTTTGATGTGAAGAGGACGGGACAGCTGGTAAGCCGGTTGACGGCCGATGTGCAGGAGTTCAAGTCATCCTTCAAACTTGTCATCTCTCAGGTCAGTGCCCCAGGCTCCCCCACCCACCCACCCACACACCCCCTGACCCCCCCATGCCCTCCAGATTAGCCACACAGGGCCAGCCCCGCCCTGCCTGTGGGGCCCCAAGCCTGGCAAGGGTGTGGGTGAAGGACGGGGAAAGTTCACAGAAGGGAGGCGCCAGGGCAGTGTCCAAGGTCAGGATAAGCTGTTTCTCTCCTGTCCTGAAATCCTACCTCCCCAGAAAACCTTCCCAAGGACTCAGGCAAGAGCCTTTCCGGGCCCGCTTGCCAAGAGCAGAATCACCCTGGCCTGCCTTGCCCCCAGAACGCCTGGCACGCTGACAAGCGTGAGGAGGAGCTGTGGTTTGTCCTGTGTCACCGCGGGCCTCTCCTCGTCCACCCTGTCGGCCCCGTGGCTGCTGGGTCACAGCGGACAGCAGCCCACAGCACCCACCCGTGACTTTTTGCTCAGTGTGTGAAGCAGAGAGAGAAGCAAACTGGGATCTCTTGGGAAGGCTGCCACGTCCACAGACGCTCCATCTGGTCCCTTCTGCCGGCTGGGCCATAGAGGGTGGTGTCTGCCCCGGCCGCCGCGGCTCAGTGGCGAACTGAAAGGTCACCGGTTCGATTCCCTGTCAGGGCACAGGCCCCAGGCCCCAGGTTGCCGGCGTGCAAGAGGCAACTGATCAGTGTTTCTCATCGAACACTGATGTTCTCTTTCACTTTTTCTCCCTCCTTTCCCCTCTCTCTCAAAGAAAATAAATATTAAGAAAAAGAAACAGAAAGAAAAGAAAGTGTAGACGGCACCTGCCCACCCGCCTCCCCGCCTTTCCTCTCCCCAGGGGCTGCGGAGCTGCACCCAGGTGGCCGGCTGCCTCGTGTCCTTGTCCATGCTGTCCCCGCGCCTCACCCTGCTGCTGACGGTGGCCACGCCCATCCTGATGGCAGTGGGCACCCTGATGGGCTCAGCTCTCCGAAAATTGTCACGCCAGTGTCAGGAGCAGGTCGCAGAACTCCTGCCCATCCTCCTCACCCCCACCCCGCACCCCTGTTCTCTCCACCCTGTCATTCCGCCCCACCCCCAGCCTGACTCCCGTTCGTTCTCCTGGACACCTTGCAGGTCGCCAGGGCGACAGGTGTGGCTGATGAGGCCCTGAGTAATGTCCGGACTGTGAGAGCTTTCGCCATGGAGCAGCGGGAGGAGGAGTGAGTCCTGGGCGGGGGGCGGAACCCAAAGCCAGGGGGCTCCCCAGGGCACTCCCCCCACACCCACCCTGCACCCTGGCTGGGCTGCGTCCTGAGGGCTGGCCTCGGCCTCTGTCCCCAGACGCTACGGAGCAGAGCTGGAGAAGTCCCGCCATAAGGCGGAGACCCTGGGCAGAGGCATCGCCTTGTTCCAGGGGCTCTCCAACATCGCCTTCAACTGTGAGTGAGCAGAGGCCTGGGTAGGGGGGGGGGAGCGCAGGACAGGCCCCGGCAGGGCCGCTCTCGCCGTTTGATGTCCTTCGGTGCCAGGAGCCCCCATCACTGCAGTGATGCGGGCAGGCTGTGGGCAGGTGGGCTGATGTCACCGCTGAGGTACGTGTAGCATGTTGCCTGCTGCCCAGGAGGAAGCCATGTGGGTGGCCCCTCCCCACACTTGTTTCCAAAAGAGGAAACAAAGACAGACCGTGCAGGTGACTCACTGAAGTTTCAAGTCGGTCTCGGTCAGAGGCAGGGCAGGGTCAGAGGCAGGGCAGGGCCGGGCAGGCCCAGCTCTCTCCTCACTTCCAGCCGCCCCCTCCCTCACCACCTGTCTCTCTGCCCTGCAGGCATGGTGCTGGGCACCCTGTTCATCGGGGGTTCCCTCGTGGCAGGCCAGCAGCTGAGAGGGGGAGACCTCATGTCCTTCCTGGTGGCCTCCCAGACCGTGCAGAGGTGAGTGTGGGACGGTCCCAGTCCCTCAGGAGCCCTGGGGGCTGAAGGACCGGGTGCCAGCCTGCGAGCACAGTGAAGCCCCTCGCTGGGGAGCGGGCCCGTGCCCCCTCGAGGCCCCCTGGCCTGATCCGCTGCCGGAACTCAGAATTGCAGCGGTCAGTTCAGCTGTAGCGGAACACACGTAGCGTGAAATGGACCGTCCTAACCGGGCTGCGGGCTGCACTCGGGCAGCATTACACACGCTCACTGCACCGTGCGGCTGCCACCACGGTCGTCCCCTGAGCTTCCTCACCGTGCATCCTTCGCAGATGCCCCTGGCCCCGAGAAACAGTGACCCCCGCCCCCACCACCCGCCACGCCCCCTTCTGTCTCTGAATCCCGCTGCTCTGGGCACCCCTGGAAGTGGGGTCATAGAGTGTTTGTCCTTTGTCGCTGGCTCGTCTCACTCGGCACAACGTCGTCCAGGTTCAGTGTACGTCAGAGTTCCTTCCTCTTTAGGGCTGCGTAAGACTCTGGGTACGGAGACACCATCTTTGCCCCTCTCTCTAAGAGCTGGCCCACCATCCCCCGCCTCCACCCTGGGGCCTCCTCGTGCTAATTGCTCTGAAATACACCCACTGCTCTGGGCCCCGCCTGCCCACGGGCAGCCCAGAGCTCGGCCAGCTTTGCCACAGACGGCCGGACGGGACCAGGCCCCCCGGCAGACTCCTGCAGTGCCTCCTGCCGCCCCTCCTCACCTTGTCTCCCCCACCACGCACAGCCTGTGGACACTAAAGTGCACGAGACATAAATACACGTTACAGGACGTAATGGAAGAGCGATATGCTCTTAAGTTGTGAAGAGAGGCCTGTGTTACCACCAGCCACAGAAAGAAGCAGAGCACCACCCCGCTGATCCCCGCACCCTGTGTCCCTCCCCACTGCTCCCCTGTCTGATGGCACTGGGGGCCTGGCTTTGCTGTATGTCTTCCCACCCCTTGCCCATAGAATCCCCCGCCATCGGCCCCATCAGGCGGGTGGGAAAGACTCCCACCCTCAGCGCCGTGTCTGCCTGCTGCTTCCTGGCCCGGGGTGGCCTCATCCTTCCTCCATCCCAGGGGTGTGGGGGCAGGGCCTCTGACCATCACAGCGAAGGGACGAGGCCTCCCCCAGCCCACCTTTGGCTTCGTTTCAGTTCTGAGGACCCTTAGGAACCCACCAGCTCCCTTTGCGCCGGCACTCTCGGCCTTCCATGGGCAACAGCAGGGAAGTCTTGTGGGGGGCAGCTGTGCCCCCCCCCTTTCAGCCTGAGTACAGACCCTCTCAGACTCTCCTCCCCCCACCTGTCCGCAGCGTTCAGGACAGACACTGCGTCCACCAGCTCCTGCAGCCACAGGCCCTGGGCCTGTTCTGTTGGGCACCCCTCACCTCGTGGGGATATTTCACCGCCCGGCCGTGGAGGAATTGGGTCTCCTACTAAAAAAAGCTGGTGCGCTTCCTCCTGGGGCCCAGCAGAGGGGAGGGGATGTGCTGCCCCTCCTCCGCAGCCCCAGCCTTTGGGCCCCACCCCAGTGCTCTTCTGTGGCGGCACTGGGGCCCCTGGGGAGACAGGGCGGCGCCTGGACAGACCTGGTCGGCCTGGCCCCTTGGTCCACGTCCCGGCCTGGGCCCTCCCGGGAGTGCGCCCTGCCAGGCAGGCCTCCGGGGAGAGCCGGGGCAGCCTTCCGAGCCACCTCTGAGAGCAGGGCCGGCGCTCACCAGCAGGTCATGTGCATTTGGTTTTCGGTTGCTCCCTGGCGCCTCTGCCAGGCACTAATGGCTTCCAGATCTCCCTCCGCATCCACAAATAACCGCTGCCCTGGCACTCCCTTGCTCCTTGCTCCCCGCTCCCTGCACCCTGCGCCTGCCACAGCCACTTCCCCACAGGCCCCCGCCCGCCCCCTCGGTTCTGGAAGACGTGGATTCCTCTCCTCAGGAAGGCTCTGCGCCCAGCCAGACTCCCGAACTGTCACGGCCGAGGGTCGGAACCCAGTGACTAAGGAGCAGTGACTCACCCTCCCCCCAAGCCAGCTGCCCCACCTGGTGGAGGTGACCAGCTGTCTAGACAGATGCGGACTTGCGACATACCCCTCGCAGAGGGTAAATGTCTCCAGGGGCTTTGGAGACATTTGCCTCAGGGGCGTCCCCAGAGTCTCCCCTGTGGTCCAGTGTCTCGTGCGTTCTTTCTCTGAGAGGACTAACACCCATTTCCCCCCTTAATTAGCCCTTGCTTCCCCCTTGGTGGACAGCACTAGGTCTGACCCACCCTGGGGGCCTCACCACCCTGACCGTGGTTGCTGGCGTCGGAGCCACCCCTGCTTGGGAGCCAGCCTCTGCCCCGCAGCCGGCAGGCCCTCGCAGGGTCCAGCCCCCAGAGCCCTGGAACGCTCAGTGCTGAGGCAGATGGTTGTCCGGCTCCTCCCACCGAGGAGAGGATGCGTCTTCAGAAGGAGGAGTGCCCTGCCCTGTGACCTGTCCAGGCCCAGGAGTGTCCTCTGCATTCGGCTCCAGGCCATCTGTGTCCTCAGCCCAGGTGCCCGACACACCTGAGCCCCAGGCCTGCCCCCTGGGGCTGGCTTCCTCTCAGCCTTTCTCTTCTACTCCTCACAGGTCCATGGCCAACCTCTCTGTCCTGTTTGGTCAGGTGAGTGCCAGAGTCGGGTCTGGGTCTGCTCAGCCACCAAGGTCACCTGTATGCTTCAGGAACCAGGTGCTGGGTGGAGGGGATGCCGTACCTGCCCGTGCGTGGGGGTCCAGGCCACGCGGCTGTCGGGCCCACTGTGCCCAGGCCCACCCCCACCACCATGTACTGAACCCTTCCAGGTGGTTCGGGGGCTCAGCGCGGGCGCCCGGGTGTTCGAGTACATGACCCTGAGCCCCTGCATCCCGCTTTCCGGGGGCTGCTGCGTGCCCAGGGAGCAGCTGTGCGGGTCCATCACGTTCCACAACGTCAGCTTCAGGTCAGTGTCGGCAGGTGGGCTCAGAGGTCACGCCTCTGGGCTGGGGGCCGGCAGGCCCAAACCCGCTCTCAACGAGGCCCGTCAGGGGTGCAGTGGGACGGCATGGGGGACCAGGAGCCTGGTCTCACTGAGAGTGTCCTGGCCCCCCAGTTACCCCGGCCGCCCTGGCTTCCCGGTGCTCGAGGACTTCAACCTCACACTGCCCCCTGGCAGGATCGTGGCCCTGGTGGGCCAGTCGGGTGGAGGTGAGAGGAACCCACCCCCACCGGGACGTCCCCCCTTGGTGGTGGTCACTTAGTGGAGCCCCTTCCCTGCCACCATGGCCCCTCTCCTGGCCCCATCCCCAGAAACCTGGACCCTCCCTGACGGCCCCATCTCCCCAACCCCACATCCCAGGAAAGACCACCGTGGCTTCCCTGCTGGAGCGCTTCTACGACCCCACGGCAGGCACAGTGACCCTGGACGGGCGGGACCTGCGCACCCTCGACCCCTCCTGGCTCCGGGGCCAGGTCATCGGCTTCATCAGCCAGGTGTGGAGAGGAGAGGCTTTCCTCACCCCCGGGGCACCAGGAAAGGGCGTTTCTGATGCCCAGCCCATCTCCTTCCTCCCGCGGCCCTGCCCTGGGGGTCGCTGGCCTCCTTCCCTCGTTCCCTGGCATTCCCTGGGGTCCCACACTCTTCGGTCCTGGGCCACCGCAGCCTGCCCTCTCTCACTGGGGCAGGACGGCTGCTCCTCCATGAAAGCTGACCGGCCAGGTGGGGCTGGGATGGCTGTTTCAGGACCCCTGGGCTCTGCGACAGGTCCCTGGTGTCTGGGGTCTAGAGACAGCCACATGGTGCAGCTGGGGACTGCTGGCCACCACTTACCCGCTACTCGAGGGCCTGACACTGCCTTCGCATGGGGCGGTGCTGCCCAGGGAAGGTCCACCTTCCTGCTGGTTTTTACTGAAGGGCACCTGCTGACCCGGGGGCTGCCCCATGGCTACACCCCTTCCCCCATCCCTCCAGAGAGGCAGGGGCTCTGCTGGGTGCTCAGCCTCCCCCCATTAGAGGGGCCTGTTCTCATTTGACCCGAGAGTGAACTGTCCCTGCCTCCCGTGCAAGGCATCCTGGTTTGACCAAAATAGCCTCTTCTGACAAAGCCCTCCAGGGTTTGGGGCAAAGTCTGAGCATTTCCTGTGGGCCGCCCCCCACGTCACCCCACCGCAGGAGCCGGTCCTCTTTGGAACGACAATCATGGAGAACATCCGTTTTGGGAAGCCGGGTGCCTCGGACGAAGAGGTGTATGCCGCTGCCCGGGAGGCCAACGCGCATGCGTTCATCTCCCGATTCCCTGACGGCTACAACACCATCGTCGGTGAGTACCCGGGACAACGTCACGCCGGGGTCTGCAGGGCCCTCGTGAGAGGCTGGGACCAGGGCACAGGGGTGCCGGCGTTGCATCGGGACGACCAGCCCAGAACTGGGCTGTGGGGACGGGGCAGACTGGGCACAAGCAGGCCCCAGGGACAGACACACAGCAGGCCCACAGCCCCAGTCTGGGCTGCGTGACGACATTCCCGTCGATGAGGGGCTACACGCAGGAAGGGACGGCGGCGCATGCGTAGCCTCAGCGAGTCTCGGATGGAACGGTCAGTGAGCGCACAGTGCCGCACTTCTTGCAGTGTATTCTGTCGTCTTGTAATGTGTGAGTGTACAGGTGCGGCCAGGGACACAGTGACCCGGGTGTTGGGGACCCACAGAGCTCACCAGGGGCCTCTGCGTCCTGAGGCCCAGCCAGAAGCAATGGGTAGGGTCTGCACATAGTCGTCCATCTTCCCAGCTCCTGTGCAGTTCCTGCCCTGCTCTTTAACTTACAGAGGTTTCCTGGCCATCCTGGCGTTGAGGGAGGTTTGCAGGTCTCTGTCTGCCCCGCCCAGGAGGGGCTCTGGTGGTCCTGGAAGGCCCACCAGGCTGGCACCGTGCGGCACAGCCTGCTGCATGTTCATCCCGGAGGTCTCTCCAACCTCTGGGGCCATGTTTACCGCCCAGCCTCTGGGCTCTGTTGCTGATGTCCCCACACACCACCGCAAGGCACAGGCATCGCTGGGGCTCTCAACCGCTCTGGACCTTTGGCCTCAGTCTGGCTGGGCTTCCTCCCACCTCCCGAGTGGTGCCCCCGTCTGTAGCCACCCTGACCCAGCTGGCCGACTCACTGCTCGCTCTCCAGAGCTCTCTTGGGGGGCACTTGCCTTGCTCCTCTGACCCAGTGCGCTTCCGGGCTTCCCTGGGCCTTCAGTCTGCCCCTCCCTGCCGTGTGACTGTCATCACTTTGAGACGCTTTTTGGCTCCTAGGCTGCCACCCCTGCAGCTCTCCCCAAATGTCTCCCTAGAATGCCTGGGTGATGGGCTTCAAATCCCGCTCTGCCTGCACACCCTGGGACCATGCACCTGAGCCCTGGGTGTCCCAGCTCTAATACCCCGAACCCCACCACGCACACTGTGCACACGTGTGTGTGCATGTGCCTGGGGACGTGGCAGCTGATGCGGACGGGTGCTGACCAGTACCGCCCTTGCAGAGGCCAAGGGAGGACCCCGAGGGGCCGACAGGACATCCCCAGTAGGCCCAGTGCCCTTTTGCAGGGCCTCTGCAGTGCAGAGCTGAGGGGTGCTTCCTCCCCAGGGGAGCGGGGCGCCACCCTGTCCGGCGGCCAGAAGCAGCGCCTGGCCATCGCCCGCGCCCTCATCAAGCAGCCCGCGGTGCTGATCCTGGACGAGGCAACCAGCGCCCTGGACGCGGAGTCCGAGCGGGTCGTGCAGGAGGCCCTGGACCGTGCCAGCGCGGGCCGCACCGTGCTGGTCATCGCCCACCGGCTCAGCACCGTGCGCGGGGCCCACCACATCGTGGTCATGGCCCACGGCCGTGTCTGTGAGGTCAGCCTGGGCCCGGGGCTGGCGGGGTGGCTTAGACAGCTTGAGCCACAGACACAGTGGAACTCTGTGCCGGGCTGGGGGAGGGTCTGGCCTGGCCCTGGGGGCTGGGGGCCACCTGCTGGAAGCAGCACCCCCTGCAGATGCAGGACTTTCCGCCCTTAGATAGGACCTAGCCTCTCAAGACCCCAGCGTCCCCTGTTCTCTGGGGCAGTGGAGCCCCAGGGCCACGGGGGGTATAGTGTGACGGGTTAGCAGGGGGCGGTGGGGCCTGGCTCCAAGCCCCCAGCCACCTGTTTGGGCAAAAGCTGAAGGGTTTGTGAGGGACACCGGGGCCTGTGGCTGTGTAAAGGGGTCAGAGAACAGCAGGGAGGTGGTATTTGCAAACACAGATGTGCCAGCGGCTGTAACCCGTTGTGCTTTGGTTTCATAGGGTCCCCGGCAGGGACACTGGCTTTGGTGACAGTGAGCCTGATGGCTAATATGAAGCCAGCTCCCCTAGGGCCCCGAACTCTGAGCTGGGCTGGGTGGCCATCTGCCCCTCCTCCCTCTCCAGGCAGGGACCCATGATGAGCTCCTGAAGAAAGGCGGGCTCTACGCAGACCTCATCCGGAGACAGGCGCTGGCCTCCCCGCCCCCCGAGGTGCCCAGGGGCCCTGAGTCCTGAGAGTGCTGCCCAGCACAGCCCCCAGGGCTGAGGACTGAGCCCCAGAGGGCCAGTGTGCTGGCCGCAGGCTGCCCCCCATGCACAGCGAAACCCAGAACAGGCCCGGGGCTGGGGGGAGCCTGGGCCCCAGCTCTAAGGAAACCACGGGCAGGGTCAGGGAGTGGCAGAGAGTTCACACCGGGCCCGGCCCTGCCCAGGCCAGACCTCACCTGCCTCAGCTGACTCCCTATGGCCCTTAGTCCCCACCACCTCCCGGGGCCTGGGGAGGAGGCCCCCCACCCTGCTCCCCAGCCAACCCTTTGACCCCGCAGTCCTCACTTCTAAAGCTTGCCCTTCCCCATCTGAATGGGGCAGGGGCCCGACAGGCCCTTGGGAGGCAGGGGAGGCAGTCTTGGACCAGCCTGGCCAGGCCCGCCTCCAATCTTTCACCTGGTGAGACTGTGGACAGCCCCCTCTACCTGAGGACACCAGCTTGGAAGGGGACAGAGCAGGAGCCGACACACCCGGAACTGCAGTCGGGGACACGTAGCACCAGCTGCCACCAACCATGAGGGCCACGGTGATGCTGAGCCCTTGAGCTGACAGATACAAAACCTGGCTGGGGAGGGGCAGCCCCCGCCAAACCAGGCGAAGACAAGACTGGAGCCCCCCCTCAGAAAAGGACTGTCCAAGCCCCTGCGCGCCTGGGCCTGTGGCCCTGCAGCTGTGAGTGAGGACCTACGAGTGGCCACTATCTCCCAGCCGCCCTCCTGACTGGCTCTGCCCTCATCACCCCCACCAGGCACACCTCCCCCTTCACGGAGCTCCCCACGGAGCCCTGCCCTTGATCGGGCAGGGGAATTGCCTGTGCCAGGCCTCCCAGGCTGACCGGGCATTTCAGGGGTCTTCTGTGGACTGGACGGCAAGGCCACGGAGCAGGGGCAGCAGCAGTGACAGGAGGCGCAGAGCTGCCTACTTCTGGAGGCCAGCCCAGAAGAGGCAGCAGTGGCTCGGGGTGCGTGCAGGAGCCGAGTGAGAGACTCCACAGCCTCTTCCAGGTGTGACTCAGGACCAGACACCACCCCAGACGTCCCAGGGCCACAGCTGTCCTGCTTTGCTGCTCCGGTGGGTGAGAGGTCACATCCCAGGGCAGCCTCGGCCCAGGACATGGAGCGTGGGGCTGGCTGTGGGTTGTTTCACCGTTCAATGGCCAGTACAGCGAGAGCAGGTGCACTGCTCCAACCCACTGGCAGGTGGCTCAGTGGGTCAGAGCATCGTCCTGACACCTCAAGGTGCCAAGTGCAGTCCCAGGTCGGCACATCCAAGAAACAACCAATGAATGAATAAGCAGAACGACAAATCAATGTTTCTCCGTCTCTCTCTAAAGCCAGTTTAAGAAAACTTTTTTTAAAAGTTAGAGTGGGGTAATCTCTGGTAAACTACGAAAAACCCACAATGCTGCGGCCTCCAAACGAGGTCACGTTGGGGCAATAAACCACGTCACCCACTCACTCTCCGAAAAGTGTTCGTTAAGCGCCCATGGTGTCCTGCATCCCTGACGGGCTGGGTAGTCCCTGCGTCCTGCCTGATAAAGCCTGCCGTCTCACCTGGATGGACAGGTGGCTGTCGCACAGCATCATTGTGCTGTGTCTTCTGCTCCTGGCCAGGAACCCACCAGCATGAGCCCTGCGGCCTCAAGTGCTTTGTGGAAAGAGATGGAGCAGAAGTTGAGTCAGTCAGTGGAGACCATCCCTTTCTCTCAGGCCCACAGTGCAGTGTCTGTCTGCATTCTGCTGCCCCGGAGGGGAGTGGGGGGGCCGGGTCCCGACACCACCCGTCACGGGCTGTCCGGGCCGGCTCCTGTGCCCCCCAGCTGCCCGGCCCTCCTGCTGCTGTCCCTTGTCCCCTGCACCTGGAGTCCACAAGACTCCCTCATCCCTCCCCAGAGGCACCTGCTCCAGCTGCTGGGAGGCACCCCCAGGGCCCCACCACAGCCAGGGGCACCCAGCAGGCACAGTGTCTTCCTTTTCAAAAGCCCCTCACAGAACAGACACACTCCTGTGTTACCGCTGGGAACACACAGTGTCACCTTTACGACCGGGGATTTTGTGGCACCAAATGACCCGGCCACACACTGCCATCCATAATGGAAGACTGGAAACCCCCAGGGTTCCTCAGGGGCCTGGTGACATGCACGAGGGTGTGTCCACAGAACAGCAGGGCATGCAGCCGATCAAACGTGGGGAAGTTTCCCAGCTGCTGGGAACTGCATGCGTATGTTAGTAAAACAAGATGTGATATCATAGGGCACCCAGGGTGGACTATGGAAGCTGGACTATGTTACCTGGGAGGGGAGAGCATGAGCCCGCCATCTTTGTGGTGGGGGCCAACTTCCCAGACAGGAGGGCCTGAAGAGGGGGTTGCTCAGGAGACAGCCCCCCAGGACATGGGCCCTGCAGAGGCCCCAGCCAGGCTATCCCAAGTGGCTGGAACGCCGAGGGACTCAGCAGGAGGAGGCAGCCGACGCCAGGCACCCCACCACCCTCCAGCCTGGTCAACAGCCAGCTCCACTCCAATGATGAGGTTAGTTTAGTGGGAAGAGAGGAGACAGGGAGGAGCCAGGCCTAGGGATAGTGACTGACTCTCAGCCCCACATACAGGGACTGCAGCTGGGACACCAGAGACCCCAAGGGCTCCCTGACTACCTCTGGGCTCCCCGACTACCTCTGGGATCCCCTCAGGCCCAAGCAGAGTCGCTGTGGTTTCCAGCTGGCGCCTCTGGCTTCCCCAGCCACGGTGCCCCCCCACCACCACGCTGCACTAATGGCTCAGCCTGGGGCCCCAGGGACCTCCCCGCCCCCCAGGCTGCTCTGCCAGGCCCCTTGCCCCCTCACTGCTGAAACCCAATCCTTTGCAGCAGCCCTGGCTCAGCAGAGCTGCAAACCAGCCCTGCTTGCCACACCGGCTGGGCTGCGCCCTACCTGCTCTCTGCCTTTGCCCGGCCCAGCGCTGAGTCTGAGGAGCCGCAGCCTGCTCCTGGGCAAGGCCAGCTGGACCCGCTAGGTCACCACATCCAACCCAGCCAGGCCAGTGCCCCCCTGCCTCACTCTCGGCCTCGACGCCTCGCCTGCACTCTCCGCTGCCTGGCCAGCCCCCCTGTTCTCGAACTGACCCTCTCTTCCTTCCAAGCCTCTGTAGCCTGGTCACCAGCCCTCTCCGTCCCCTCTCCGTGACTCCTGCCATGAAGCCCCCCTCAGGGCTGGAGGAGGCTCGGCGGCCGGCCTCGGACATCCGCGTGTTCGCCAGCAGCTGCACGCTGCACGGGCTGGGCCACGTCTTCGGCCCCGGGAGGCTGACCCCTCGCCGGGGGCTGTGGGCCCTGGCCATTCTCCTGTCGCTGGCCACCTTCCTCTACCAGGTGGCAGAGAGGGTGCGCTACTATGGTGAGTTCCACCACGAGACGGCCCTGGACGAGCGCGAAAGCCACCGGCTCACCTTCCCAGCCGTCACCCTGTGCAACATCAACCCCCTGCGACGCTCGCGCCTCACACCCAACGACCTGCACTGGGCCGGGCCGGCGCTGCTGGGCCTGGAGCCCTCCGAGCACGCGGCCTTCCTGCGCACCCTGGGTCGGCCCCCCGCGCCGCCCGGCTTCATGCCCAGTCCCACCTTCGACATGGCCCGACTCTACGCCCGGGCCGGGCACTCCCTGGAGGACATGCTGCTGGACTGTCGCTACTGTGGCCAACCGTGCGGGCCTGAGAACTTCACTTCGGTGAGCTGGCCACCCGACCTGTCCTGCCAGAGACCTAGGAGTGCCGGCCATCCCAGCCTTGGCAGGCAGACTCCCCCAAAGCTAGGGGACCTTAACACCCACGATCTGGGACCCTCTGGTTCCCAGCCAGGCTGCAGTGCCTTTCTGTTCAGCCCAGGAAGCTGTCCTCCGTGGGGCCCCCTCTGTCACTCAGCTGGACCGCAGTGTGCAAGGTCACACCTCCCAGCTTGGGACCTCGCCCCAGCTGGCTCTGGGCCCAGCTCTGGTCTGCGGAGACCCTGCTCCTGGGGGTGGGGGACCACAAGTGGGACTGCTCCAGGGCTGGAGACCCCGCTCGCGGCCGAGGGAGGGGCTGGCATTCCCTCTGCCTCCTCAAAGTTCTGCCGGCCCCGGAGGAGGGCAGCGGGGACCCCCTGCCCTGTGGCCTGTGTGCTTGGCTGGGGATAGAGGGGTGAGGAGGAGGTGAAGCGATGGAAGCGTGTGAGGGTCTGACTACATGTGCCTGTGAGAGGGAGGGGCTGGGGGTTCCCAGAAGACACCAAGTAGAGGACGGGGAGGGGAGTGGTCCCTCGGCCCTGCATGGGCCTGGCCGGGCCTCTTGCACCACAGTGAAGTCCTCCCCGGGGTGCCCACCTCCAGATCTTCACCCGGATGGGTCAGTGCTACACCTTCAACTCTGGTGCAGACGGGGCAGAGCTTCTCACCACCCCCAAGGGCGGCGCGGGCAGTGGGCTGGAGGTCATGCTGGACGTGCAGCAGGATGAGTACCTGCCCGTGTGGAAGGACGTGGGTGCGGGAGCCTGCGCGAATGAGGCTGGGGGCACAGGGCTGGGGTGCGACAGCTCTGGGAAGGCGAGGAGGAGGAGGGGGCGGGCAGGGGGGGGCCCACCACAGCCCAGGGGAGAAAGGGCTGCAGCCAGGGTCTCCCGGAACCCAGGCCTCAGCGCCCCTTCCCCCACAGAGGAGACCCCGTTTGAGGCGGGGGTCCGAGTGCAGATTCACACACAGGAGGAGCCGCCCATCATCGACCAGCTGGGCTTTGGCGCCGCCCCCGGCTACCAGGTGTTCGTGTCTTGCCAGCAGCAGCAAGTATCCTCCCCGGAGCCTCCCAGCCCCTCCCCTGCCAAAGCCCCAGACCTCAGCCCCCACCCCGCCACTCTTCAGACAAGTCCCTGGGGCCTCGGCCACCCCCGCCCCGCCCCAGTGCCTGCGGCTCGCATTCTCCCGGGGTGTTCTCCTCTCCCCAAACCCTCCTTAACCAGTGTCTTTGCAGCTGAGCTTCTTGCCCCCGCCCTGGGGTGACTGCAGCTCAGTATCTCTAGACCCTGACTTTGAGCCGGAACCCTCTGGTCCCCTGGGTCCCCCCAGCCCCAGTCCAGGTCCCAGCCTTCCCTATAGTCTAACGGGCTGTCGCCTGGCCTGTGAGACCCGCTATGTGGCTCGGAAGTGCGGCTGCCGAATGATGCATATGCCTGGTGAGGGGCTGGAGAGCAGAGGAGGGGTCCAGTGGGGAGGGGCCGGAGCCTGGGGTGGGGGTGGGGCGTCCTGAAGCTGTCACTCATACACAAACACCCCTCACCCGCCCCACCTCCCGCCAGGTGGCGCACCGGTGTGCAGCCCCCAGCAGTACAAAGACTGCGCCAACCCGACGCTGGGTAAGGGGCACACATCCCCGCCACCCGTCCCTACCCCGCTCGGCTTGGGACCCCCACCCCACAGCGGGGGTCAGGGACGGCCGTGATCCAGATCTCTGTGGCCCGCAGACGCCATGCTGCGGAAGGACGCGTGCGTCTGCCCCAACCCTTGCGCCACCACGCGCTACGCCAAGGAGCTCTCCATGGTGCGGATGCCCAGCCGCGCCGCTGCCCGCTACCTGGCCCGAAAACACAACCGCAGCGAAGCATACATCGCGTGAGCCCGCGGAGCCGGGGACAGGGGGCGTGGGACCTGAGAGGGGCAGGTGCCCTCCTCCAGCTAAGGGCGCACATCCGGGTGGGACACCAGTTTGCATGTCATCAAGGGGCTCCGGGACTCTGGAGAAGCTGCCTAACCTTTCTGCCACTGCGCCTTCTGCAAACGGGGGCGGTGCCGCCCCTCTCCGGCCTCTTCAAAGGAGTCATTGACCTGAGAACGTGCACCTGTTTCTTGTCAGCAAGGGGGTGCGCAGCGAACATTCCCGCCTCTTTTCCTCCAGGGAGAACGTGCTGGTGCTGGACATCTTCTTCGAGGCCCTCAACTACGAGACGGTGGAGCAGAAGAAGGCCTATGAGGTGTCGGAGCTGCTCGGTATGTGCGCGGTGCCTGGGGGTGGCGCTCGGGAGGGCCGGGTAGGACAGGTAGCTGTGAGCTGACCAGCGACCCGGTCTCCGCAGGTGACATTGGGGGCCAGATGGGGCTGTTCATCGGAGCCAGCCTGCTCACCATCCTGGAGATCCTGGACTACCTCTGTGAGGTGGGCGTGGGACCCCGGCTCAGGGAGAGGGAAGGAAGCAAGCTGAGGGACACAGGTGAGGGCGTGCGCGGGCCACCTTCCCCCTGCTTGCCCCCAGGTGTTCCGAGACAGGGTCCTGGGGTACTTCCGGAACCAGAAGCGCTCCCCAAAGCACTCCGCCACCAACCTGGTAAACAGCCTCCTCCTCCCCCTCCCTGACACCTCTGCCTGGATTCTCTGCCTGTCCCTGAACCCTGGAACGCCCTCCCTTCCCAGCTGGGCAGAAACAGGGGCAGGGAGGGGCATGCAGTGGCCC